AGGAGCCTGCTTCACGCGGCTCCCAGCAGCACATGGGGAGAGCAGGCTCGTGCGCGCGGCGAGGTCCCTTACAAGCGGCAGTATTACTGCAGCCCGCACGCCTCCCCTTTTCTGGGCCAGCAGCTCTGACTCTGCGTGGCAGCCAGGCCCGGAGCCTGGGCTGTGTCCCTCCGGTGTGCCTCCAGCGATGCCCTCCTCTAGGGGATCGTCCTCATGAGTTGAAGAAGGGGCATCTTGGCAAAGGAAGGCGCGCGAGCAAAGGTCCTGTGGCAGGAGGGGTTAACATAGGCGTCTTCCAAAGCCAAAGTTGCAAAAATGAGCTGGGGAGTTAGGGGGAGCGCCAGGGGTCAGGAGATCTGGGGAGATAGGGCCGGAGCTGGCAGGCACGCACAGCTCTGATGCTCCTCCGGAGAAGCGCCAATGGGCCTCCCGTTCCTCAGCAAGGCTGCTCGCAGCTCACAGCCCCGTCCGCACGGCCTCGCCTCAGCCTCTGCCAGTCTGGCTAATGCCGTCTGGCGGCCTTCTGTCGCCAAATTCTAGTGGCACCTGTTGAGTCAGCACCGCCCGAGATTCCCCTCTGCCGTCGCTTTCTTACGTGGACTTGGGGGCACCCGCTCTCCTGGCTCCCTCTTTCTGCTCCTTCTCAGTGTCTCTCCCAGAGTGGGTCCATCTCTGTGTGCTGGGATTTCAAGGCACCAGCCTAGCCCCCTTCTCCTCACCCCTGCTCCTCTGCACTCTCTCCCTGGCGAGTTCATGCATCCCTGCCCGCCAACGCCAGATCTAAGCGATGCTCCCGCATTCCTGGCCCCAGTCCAGCCCCTCTGGAGCCAAGCGTGTGTGCGCAGCCGCCTCCTGTGCTTCTCCCTGGGGCCTCTCTCTCCCCGGACGTCTCCCCTGGGCTGTCGACACGGCAGGCGTCTCCGCTCCTCTGGGCACACTGCCCTGCGACCCCTCGCCTTGGGCATCAGGTCTGAATCCCGCCAGTGTGCAGACCTGACAGGCCTCTTTCCTCCTCTTGCTCCTTAAAAACTTTTTCTGGAGCCACGCCGGTGAGCAGTGTTGCACAGGTTTCGGGAGCACAGCCTCATCCTCCCACAGTGGTGCTACGTTCTGATGCCCAATGAAAGGCTAGCTTCCAGAAGCTAAATTGGAAGCATGACTGGCCTTCTAGCAACCTGGTGCTGTTATAATATTATTATTTTTCTCTATTAATGAGTCCGTCCTGAAGCCGTCATGGTCGGGGAATGCATAGAATCCTTTGCAATTAAAAAGTGTTCTAAGGCTGGACATTTTGGGGGACACATCACTGTACACTCACAGATTCATTCACCCATTTGCTAAGTACTTATTGGCTCATGCACCATTATTTACTCCTCAGGTGTCAGCACGGGCAGGGATAAGTGGGTCCACAAATCAGCACAGCCCCGCCCTCGCTGCGCTTACAGCCCGACGCGGGGCAGAGTGGCAGTCGGGAAGGGGCATGTCACGCGCCTTCTAAGGCCCCTCGCTGTGCTGATGCTCCCGGCACGCACCCACTGAGCGACGGTGTCCTGCGCGGCTGCTCCTTGTCACAGATACGGAAACCGGAGCGCAGAGAGGCAGCGAGATGGGCCACACCGCCAGCGCCAGGCACAGTCTCTGGACGCCCAGGCAGCCCGCTCCGGAGCCCAGGCTCTCAGCTACGGTGCTCTCGGCGTGCGAACAAGGATGTAAATGAGACAGTCATCACAAGCTCCGTGGGTGCTGTGGAAGAACAGTTTGGGGTGTTGGGGGAGCAAAGAGAGGAGGTTTAGCTTAGTGCGAGGGCCCAGGAGGCCATCTGTGAAGAGGTGTTATTTCCTGGGGAGTGAGAGAATAGGTAAAGTGAGAGAAACATCTAAATCAGGCAGCGTTGAGCAAAAGTTGTCCCAGACAAAGGAAAGAGCCTGTGCAAAGGTCCTGAGGTAGGAGCGTTCAGCCCAGGGACGACAGGCACCAGGGTTCACATCCTGCAGCAGGAAGCGGGGCCAGGTGACATACAGCTGTTTCTCGCCCCTGTGGGACACAGGCAACGGCTGGCAGGATGATAATTAAGGGGGTTCCTGGAGCCCCAGCCAGTCTGAACATTCTTCCTCACACTTCATCGTTCATCCTGGAAGTCCACGGCTGCTGGTTCTGTCCTTGGGGTTGTAAAGCAATCCCCACCCCCAGTCTCTGTGCAGAAGAGGCGCTCTCGGGGAGGCACCAGCCTCAGTTGCTGCTTCAACAACTGACTCTCGGGCCTCCCCAGTGGCGCAGCGGTTGAGCGCTGGGTTGCAAAGCTGCCCGCGGCCTCTGCGGCGCCGGTTCGATCCCCGGCTGCTCCCCGGCCACCGGAGGAGGGTCCTGCATGGCGCGCAGACCTCTCCTGCCGCCCGCTGCTCCCCTCAGCAGTGTACTTCGGTCCTTCTGCCTGCTCTGCTCCCTGCTCTGGCTCTGGTGGATTCTCTCACCCTCCCGCGCTTCTGACTGTACCCAGTGCTTGTATAAATATAAATAAACAAATAATTAATTAAAAAAATTAAAAAAAGAAAAAAAAAACAACTGACTGTCCATCAAAAAATGAAGCCTGGCACCTTATTTAAAATGGCAGCACCCCTGCCTCTGGCCCGGTGCTACTTGGTGCTGTCTTCCCTGGCACAATGCGCAGACCCTGGAGGCAGGGATGCCCACGTGGCCGCGTTCCAAGTGCCCAAACACGGCACAGCAAGAGGTGCATTTGCAGAGGGAACAAATGCTTGGACTGGCGTTACCGCCCCTCGCTCAGGAACAGGAGGGCCGGGAGGGTGAGATTTAGCTTGGGAGGCTTGGGGTGGGCTGGAGGGCGGACAGGAGGAATTTCCAGAAGGGGAAGAATTGGATTGTGGATCGGGGGGGTGGGTGGGAGGTGGGGGAGCGTGGGCTTCTCCAGGGCAGGGGTTGCCATTTCAGATTCCTCTCCTCTTCCCCCTCTCTGCACCCCGGCTGCAGATGGTCCCTCAGCCTCGTCCCTCCTCCGCCACACACCATGTCCTCCTCTGCTCCGAGATCCCCAGGCCACCCAGATGGGCCCCTCGCTGCCTCCAGGCACTGGCTTTTCCCCAGCCTCATGCTCGGCCTGCCTGGGAATGGACACCCACACAGCTCCGTAATGGCTTGATTTAGGGGAGGTCATTCCAACCCCGACTCATAAATGTCAGAACTTCATGGACTCTTGGAGATTCTATCCTCTGCGGAGGGAACAAGCTCGGAAGGAAAAGTGACTACTCCCGTCAAACAGTGAGGTCAGCCAAGTCCCGTGTGCAGGACTCGGCGGCTGTGACGTCCTGCTGTGCCGCCCACTCTCTCCTCGGCACCATCTGCTGCCCCAGCTTCTAGAAGAGCAACCTGCTTTTTAGGCTCCTCTCGGAGTCAGGTGCCTCCACCCTATTTGTAGCCCCCAGCCCCCCTTGGGTGTGCTTCCCCCACTAGGTATGCTCCCTGCACCAGGAGTGCTCCCTCTCCTAGGGGTGCTCCCTGCCCTGGGTGTGCTCCCTTCCCCAGGTGTGCTCCCCAGGTGTGCTTCCTCTTCTGATGTGCTCTCCCCCAAGGTGTGCTCACCTCTCCGGGTGTGCATGATTCCTGCCCCAGGTGTGCTCCTGCCCCAGGCGTGTATTCTCCTTATCCCACTAAGGTCTCTTTCCAACCACTGCTCAGGTGCTCATTCTGTTCTGGGCCTTTGCACCTGTGAGTCCTCCGCCCAGGATGCCTGCTCCACGCCAGCTGACTGTCACCCACCTTTAGGAAGGTGGGTGACTCCAGCACAAACCCCATCTCCTTCCAGAGACCTCTGTGGAAGGACTCCTGCCCTGCGGTGGAGTCGCCAGCGCTCACTCCCAGGGCACCATCCATGTGTCCTGTGTTTTCTGCTGAGTTTCAAGGGCTGGGGAGTGCGAGGAAGCAAAGCAGCAGGCCAGGCTTCTCTTTTCCTGTCCCCCGATGGCCTGTGGCTTTGGACCAGCTACTTACCTCCTCCGACCTTGCCTCTGTCCTCATCTAGAAGACGGGCCACTGAAGAACCTTCCTCAGCTAACGTGGGGGTCCATGAGGAAGGGGGGCTGCACCTGCAAGGCTGTGCCCATTCTTGGGGGTCAGGAGCCGGGGGCCCCAGCGGGTGCCTTCAAGAAGACAAGCCCCTCTTGGTGGAACCCATGTTCTTCACTGTCTGCCCCCTGGCTCCGGGCCTGGGCTGGGAGGACTCAGCATGTGAGGGAGCCCGCCTGGAGGTGCTGGAACCAGCGTGGTGACTGTCTCCCCGCAGAGCTGCAGAACAGGGACCGGGCCTGGATTTCTGCTTCCTCTCCTCGGTGTCCGCCAGGGGTCCGGCGCGGAGAGGTGCCCTGTTCCTGGCCCAAGAACTGAAGAGTCGATGTGGCTAGTCTGGGAGAACACTCCAGGCAGGACAAGCCCTCGCAGAGATGTCTCATCAAAGCTGTCGTCGTGCAGGTGGGGAAACTGAGGCCCAGAGCGGGAAGGGGCGAGCTGGGCTGGGGTCAGGCACCTAGTTGGGACAGACAGATCTGGCTTTGGGTCCAATTCTTCAGCTTTCTGGCAAGTGACTTGGGGCCGGTCATGTCCCTGAGCCTCAGTTTCTCCATCTATACATGGGGCTGTCGAGGGCTGTCGTGGAGGTGAAGCCATTTGGCACTTATGAAGGCGAGAGGACAGTGTCACATTGTCACTCTCGCCTGCATGTTAGCGGCTGACGGGGTGGGGCAGGGTCAGGGGGTGGACACTGGGTTCCCTGTCCCGTCTCGGCTACTCCCCACGCCCTCTGAGGAGAAGTTGGCCGGTATCCGCTCCCAGCTGGCCCAGGCCAGTCAGCCAATACCTGATTCCACCCCACACCTCTTATCTACGCAAAGGAGCTACAGAATCTTCGCGGAGGTTCTAATCAATGCAGCTGCAGGCATTTTCTGCCAAGTTCTAGATCCGGTTTCCACAGCTCCTCGGTTACACTGGCACCGGCACCGCTCTGAAGCCGCCCCGCTCGGGACCTCTGCTGCCCACTCCTCGGATACTGCTCCCCTTCTGCCCAGGGGGGCCTCCCCGCCCCCACTGCAGGCACCCTGGGGAAAAGGCTGAGACGCGTCCCAGGGACACAGCTGGACCCGTCACTCCCAGACAGCAGTCTCCACTCTTGCCTCTCCGGGGTGTGTGGCTGTCCCGCCCCCCTCGAGGGAGCCTGTCCCCGTGGCAGGTCCTGTCTGACTTCTCCAGGCCTACCCTGCACTGGTCACCCCCACCGACCTCTCCCCAGCTTTGTGCGAGCTCTCGGCTGGGACGTCCAAGCCGTCACTCCCCGGCGTCACCCGCTGCAGCGCTAGTGTCAGCTCCCGGGACCCAGAGCAGGCACAGGAGGGCAGCATTTTATCAGCTCCCCTTTGCAGGGGGACAGCTGAGGAGAGGGTACCTAGCTCAAGGTCCCACGATCAGTGTGAAGAGTCTGAACTCACATCTAAGCACTGAGGTCAGCGCTGCCCAGTCTGCCCCACCCCGGCTTCCCACCTCTCCCTCACTGTCCACCACATTCTCTCCCGTGCACCTCTCTTTCCATGCAGCTCCCCGCCCAATTGTCAGCCAGCCTGCCTTCCGCCTGTGCTGCTCCTGCTGCACCCACCTTGTCCCCGCACGTCTGCACAGCCACTGCGATGACACCCCGGGGGCCGGGCCCGCTCTCGTGCTGGCCACAGAGGGAAGGACACAAGGTGATGTGTGATGACAGTTCGTGAGGCGGTGTTTGAACAGGCCCCAGCCTGGGGGGTGGGGGAGAGGGGCGTGCCAGGCCCAGGTTGGGGGTTCAGAGAAGGTAAGGCCCTGTCTGAAACTGTGGGGCGGGGTGCAGAGAGAACAGCCCACACAAAGGCTTGGGCTGCCAGGAGATTGGGGTGATGAGGGAGCTGTGAGACAGTGCGATGGCTGAAGCTAGGACTCCAGGGGCCAAATGTTGATACTGTCATTTTGTTCTAGGGCAGCCCCGATACAAGACATCATTTCCCCCTAACAATTTCAGGTTTCCAGGCCTAGTCTCCCAGCCAGGACCGGACCCCAGGCTGCGGGGGCAGCGCTGAGCCCCAGCCACTAGCCCCCCAGGGGCTGGTGTCTCACGAAGGAGCAGTAGGAACTTCGCTGATGCTCAGGCAAGCCAGCGAGAAGAGGCAGATTTGTTTAGAGAAAGAAAAAATTTATTGAGAGAAAAGGGACAGAAATGAAGTGGGAACCCAGGCGGGTGGAACCAGGCCAGGGAGGGCCAAGGGAGCCGGCCTGGAGTCGGGCCTCAGGGCGTATGGCCCTTCTCTCCCTGATTATGCTAAAGCTCCACCAGTCTCTGTGATTGGTTAGTTCTCTCTCTCTCTCTCTCTCTCTCTAAAAAGATTTATTTATTTATGCATACAAGAACTAGGGTACAGGCCAGAGGTGTGTGGGGGGTGGTGGGGTGTTGAGAGGACTCACCAGAGATAGAGCGGGGAACAGAACAGGCAGACTGACTGAAAACACTGCTGAGGGGAGCAGCGGGAGACAGGAGAGGTCTGCTGCGCCATGGGGGTAGCTCCCTGGCCGGGGATCGAACTTGTGCTGCAGTGGCTACGGACAGCTTCATCAGTTGCATCTTAACCCCTCGTGCCGCCAGGGAGGCCCCAGTGGTCTCACTCACTGACCTAATGCCTCTGTGCCCGGAACTAAGGCTCTGTGTCCCCGCCCTTATCTTAGCATACTTTTCTTTATCATCCTTGTTCTGGAATGTCCTGTTGCCCCTAGTCCTGGGGGTGTTTGATTAGTCCCCTTTGGAATCTGTTGCCCTTATCTCTGGAGCTTTCCTTAACTCTCCGGAAGTCCCTGCCTGCACTGCCCCTGAAGCTGCCTGGTTATCCCTGACTTGCCCTGGGACTGAAGATGAGGCTGGAGGGGAGGCTGCGGCCAGGAGGCTCAGGGCCAGTGTGGGGATGTGGGGATGGGAACTAGTCCACCGGGGTTAATCAGAGGCTAGAGGGCAGCAGTGGGGCCAGAGTACTCTGGTCACAGCAGGGGAAGGCGCGGGGGCAGAGGTGCAGAGACAGGGGAGCGGGCCCGGCCTCCGGTGTGATGGGCACTAGTCTGAGAAGGTGACCTCGGAGGAGAAATGAGTAGGTGAGAGGTGTGTCTGGACGTGGCCTCAGTGGACGCGGATGGGTGACAGGTTGGGTGGGGGCAGGAATGTCACTTCTCTAGAGATGACCCTGGACTTTGCTGGAGCTTCCTCAGGCCCAGCCCACTCTGTGCTGCTGCTCAGGTGACCCGTCCTGCCCAAAGTTCTCCCCGTGAAGGTCATGTGAAGCTTTTATCTTAGCTGGCATCTCAGGGCCGCTGCCGGCCGGCTTCTAAGCAGGAGAGTGGGGCTTCAGCAGATGGGGATGTCAGGAACGCCTGGTCCCCAGGAAGGCCGAGCGTGGGGGTGGGCAGACTCTGGGCAGCAGAGCTCACAGAGCCATGGCTTCTTGCAGCATGTTCTCCTCACACACCCTCCCCACATTCAGTCAGGTCCCCCTTTAGAACCAGCGGTTCCACCTGGACTCTTCGATGATGCACTGTGATTTAGCTGAGGTATCTCGCGCTATGCTATGTACTCCATGAACACAGGGGCAGTACCTCTGTTATTACATCCCAGTCTCTCACACAGCCCTTGGCACGCACCGGGTGCTCAGTGGATGCTGAGCAGATATGGAAGCAGCGATCCTGGCTGGAGTTTGGTCTCTCTGGGTGCCAGGTTAGCGGGAAGGAGCTCCAATTTGCAGAGAGCTGAGGACAGTTTAGCAGTTTCGTTCAGAAGCCCGCCAAAAAAAAAAAGATTCTTTGGAATTCTAAGCTACTAAATGGGCTGGGAAAGAACAGCAGGTGTCCCAGAAGAAAGCTGTCAGGGCTGAGGCACTGCCCATTTTTTGAATTACTCATCCAGCGCTGGCCGCTCTCCACGGGCAGAGAACGGAGTCTGCAGGGCCCAGATCTGCACCCCGTACGCCATGAAGGTCGGCACATTCCAAGTGCACAAGACCTTCTCTTGAGTAGCTGCAACCAGCTGAAACTAGAGGCTGGTTAACGGAGCGAGCTCGCTCCCCGGGGTGCTCTGGACTCTGGCCAGCCACCCGATGGCCAGCTCTGTAGTCACCTCACGCTTCGCTTTCTGGATCTGTTTCCTCATCACTAAGTGAGGGCTGGATTCTCTCCTCTGCCCCTTAACTCACGGGCGCGGTGGGGACATTGGATGTGAATCTGCATTGCCAGCAGAATGGCACGGATAAGTGGGCACGGCTTCATCAGGCCAAGGATGCAGTTTTAGCCTCTAGGAAATGGAAGCATCCAGTGTCTTTCCAGCCGCTGCTTCATCCTCCGTATCTCTCCGTGGTCAGGGCGAATCTGCCGGGCCTCACCTGACACCGGGGCCGTCTCATTTCTGTGGTGCTGGGTGGATGCAATCCTTAGGGTCATTTTATAGCTGAGGACACTGAGGCTTAGCGAGGCAGCTTAGCCAGCCACAGAGAGCTGGTCAGGTCCACATGGGTGGGCTTTAAATCATTTAGTTCCATCATTTTATTCCTCTCTGTATCTCCAGGGCTTAGCAGCTGGGACGAAATAAACTGTGTGTGTGCTTGCCAAGTGAGAGTTTAGGAATAATAACTGCTAATTACTGGCTTATTGTGGAAATTAAGTAAGTAAATAGTAAGGAAAGCGGCTGGGTCAGACCTTGGGACTGAGCAGCGGTGAATAAATACTGGTTTAATTTGCTCGTGGATTCGTTCATTTATGCAACTAGGGGTGGTTGCTTCTGGCAGACGTGGGAAGACAGTAACCTTGTGTTCGTCCCTCGGCCCCACACTCGGCCCCGCAGACTGCGTGGGCTTTAGTGCTCTGCTCAAACCCCCACCCCCCACCCCACCCCGGTCCCTGTCCCCCCTAGTCACTGCTGCTGCAAAGCTGGGCTTTTCCTGCGGGCTTTTTTTTTTCTCTTTATTTCAAGAATTGGGGTACAGGCCAGAGATGCGGGGGTGAGAGGATTCACCAGAGACAGAGTGGGGAAACAGAACAGGCAGACAGACCGAAGTACACTGCTGAGGGGAGCAGCGGGCGAGACAGGAGAGGCCTGCCGCGCCTTGTGGGTTTCTCCCTGGCCGGCCGGGAATTGAACTTGTGCTGCAGTGGCTGTGGATTGCTTACAGGTTGCATCTTAACCCCTGCGCCATCAGGGAGGCCCTCCTGCGGGCTTTTTACTCACACCCTCCCTGCTGCTGGTAGGTCTCCCATCCCGCCTTTAAGGGGCTTTTCTGGGCTTTTCTTCCCGCCCAGGGTTTCCTGCTCCTTTACCCTCACCCCGCCCCCACAACCTCTCTTAACTCCTTTGCCCTGGGGACGCCATGGGCTGACCCAAAGGCGCCTGGAGAGGGGGTAGGCATGCGTGGCTGGGTGGTCTGCACTGGCTGGGAGTCCCCAGCCCACGTATCTTACATGCAAACGCTGAGTTAAATAATCCCCGCCTGGCAGCACCACTGTGACGGTGCCGTTAAATGATTAAATAGCAAACAGCATGTATACACCCTCTTCGTGTTGTGCTGAGAGGGACTTTAAAGGAGACCAGATCGGGTGCTTTTTAAACTTCTTTTTAGCTAAGGGGACCCCACTGTTTCCAGCAGCGGTTGAGGAGAAGGCAGGAGCCTAGCAAGTCTTTGCTGGACGAGTGACTGGTGAATGAGAGCGCCCAGAGCAACGTGAACTCCCGTGACATGGACGGGCCAGCCCAGGCCGCTCCAGAGGGGAGCAAGCTGACCAGCTCCCAGCTGTGCAGAGGTGGATCTGGGCGCCTGGCTGAGCCCCCCAACCCCACCCCTGGGCTCCCAAGTCTATGCCTCCCTCCTCAGGAGCCCAGAGGCTGTCCCGCTCAGCCCCTCCTCCCTGCCTGTTGCCGTTTCCTCCGTGTGGCTCTTCTCGCAAAGCTTTGCTCCCAGCTTTCAAACGTCTGCCCCGCAGCCTCCTGCCCGAGACCCAGCGGGCTTCTAAAGCCGTGGCTCCCCGCTCCCTGCTGACACCTCCAAGGACCGAGCAGGGGCCCACGAGCAAGTCACATCTCCATCTTGTTCATCCGAGCCCCCACCCCCGACCTCCTCAGGGCTCCTCATGACTCACCGTCCCTCTGTGAGTCTGGGAGCTCCCACCTCAGATTTATCTGACCAAGGGAGGTTGGTCCGTGGTAAGCACAAATGTCTCTTAGCAACATCTTGCAGTTCATCTTTCCATAGAAGGTTTTTCTCTAATGATCAAAAGTCTATTTTTATAGATTTTTTCTTTCTCAGGATTGCCAGAATAATCTTCCTGCCTCTTGTAGGAACAGCGTGTTGCTGTTCAATAATCTTCAGTGTAACCATATGTGGGGGATGAATTATCCCCATTTAGTGAGGACCCTGGTGTGTTCGCCCTGCAGTGTGTCCAGCCTCAGGGCAAGACCCTGACTGGTCTAAACCAAGCCTGGTGCTCTCTTTGTTACACTGCCCTTTGTAAGGGCAGAGATGTAAGGAAAGTTTTTCTTCCTTCACAGAAAAGAGGACTGCTCAGGGAGAAGGCAGCCTCCCCTTTTATGAACTCCTTCCTTTAGATACTATTTGTGAGGATTCGATATCCGGAGCTGTGGCAGCCATTTTGTGACAGGAGGTGATACTCTTCAGGATGAGACGTGAAAATGCTCAGAATGGCCGAGTCCAGAGAACCTGGGTCCTTTTTTTTTTTTTTTTTTTTCACATTTTATTTAAATTTTATTTTTTATATTTGCCATACAATTACAACCCCCTTATTTTGACCCCAAGCCCTCCTTTCCCAACCCCCCAACCCCCATACAGTGTCTCTGGTTCATAGTTGTTTCTTGATGTTGATATTTTCTTTCTTATAGTTATTCTTTTTCCTGGTCCCTTATTTAAGTTTTCTAGATTCCTGCTATGAGTGAGACCATCCGGCATTTTTCTTTTTCTTTCTGGCTTATTTTGCTGAGCATGATCCCTTCCAGCTCCATCCATGTTGCTGCAAATTGCATGTGTTTATCTTTTTTGAATGCTGAGTAATATTCCATGGTGTGTATGGACCACATCTTCTTGATCCAGTCATCTATTTTTGGGCATCTGGGTTGTTTCCAGAGCTTAGCTATTGTAAACAGTGCTGCTATAAACATAGGGGTGCAGGTGCTCTTTGGAATGGATGTTTCTGTGTCCTTTGGGTAAATACCTAGGAGTGGAATTGCTGGATCATATGGAAGCTCTATGTTTAGTAGGTCCAGAAATCTCCACACAGCTCTCCATAGTGGTTGGACCAGTTTGCACTCCCACCAGCAGTGCAGGAGAGTTCCTTTTTCTCCACAACCTCACCAACATTTGTTGTTGCTAGTTTTTTTAATATGTGCCATCCTCACTGGTGTAAGATGGTATCTCATGGTAGTTTTGATTTGCATTTCCCTGATTGCAAGTGATGCTGAACATTTTTTCATATGTCTGTTGGCCATTTGCATTTCCTCTTCAGAGAAGTTTCTTTTTAGCTCTTCTGCCCATTTTTTTTTTTTATTTTTTTTATAGAGGCATGCTTTATTTATTTGTTTGCTGGTTTGTTTGTTTTGTTTATACATGCACTGGGTACAGTCAGAAGCGCGGGAGGGTGAGAGAATTCACCAGAGCCAGAGCAGGGAGCAGAGCAGGCAGAAGGACCGAAGTACACTGCTGAGGGGAGCAGCGGGCGGCAGGAGAGGTCTGCGCGCCATGCGGGACCCTCCTCCGGTGGCCGGGGAGCAGCCGGGGATCGAACCGGCGCCGCAGAGGCCGCGGGCAGCTTCGCAACCCAGCGCTCAACCGCTGCGCCACCGGGGAGGCCCCTCTTCTGCCCATTTTTTGACTGGATTATTATCTTTGTTTTTGTTGAGTCTCATCAGCTCTTTGCAGATTTTTGTTATCAGTCCTTTATCATTAGTGTTGGGTGCAAAAATGTTCTCCCAGTCGGTGGGGTTTCTCTTTGTTTTTGTTATTGTCTCTTTTGCTGTGCAGAAGTTCTTTAATTTGATGTAGTCCCAGCTGTTTATCTTTGCCTTCATTATCACGGCTTTGGGTGATGTGTCTGTAAAGATGTCTTTGATGTGCATGTCATGTAGTGTTTCGCCTATATTTCCTTCTATGTATTTTATGGTTTCAGGTCTTATATCTAGTTCTTTAATCCATTTTGAGTTGGTTTTTGTGCATGGTGTTAGGTTTTTGTGCATGGTGTTAGGTCAAGCTTCATTCTTTTGCATGTAGCGACGAACCTGGGTCCTTTCTGACACTGCTGAGCTGGAACCTGACTGCAGCTGCCTCCCTCCACAGTCTCACTGAGTGGACCCGCACGTGAAGCAGCCATTGATCTGTTTTTCTGCAACTGGAAGCAGAGCATCTTCTTCACTCAGCCCGGCTGACCCCCTCAGACATGGCTGTGCCCCCTCAGAACTGGGGAGCCGGAAGGGCAGGAACATGCCCTGACCTGGGAGTGACACTTCCCTGCACCACTCACTGATGTGTGCCCAGGGGAGTCACTTCTCTTCCTGCTTCTTTGTCTTCTTGGTAAGGCAAAGATTTGCATTACATGGATGCATCTCCCAGTGAGGACTCGCAGCCCCCAGAGCCACACGGGAGGGTTCAAGCTTTTGTGGATGACGTGATGGTGCTGAGGTCCGGCTCTGCGGCGTTTGGAGGTGACTCAGTGAGCAATCAGACGGCCTCGGGTCTGTATTCATTCCTCTTCCCGTTTGTCAGCAATCCTTCAGTGTGCCCCAGTTTCTGGGTCTATTTTTAGTGGAAATCAACTGAAGCAGCTCAGGATGACACAATTCCTTCGGGACCTTTGGCCTCACCTGCTGATGGAGCCGAGCCGCAGAGCCGGGCGCCTGGAGGTGGTGGGGTCCTCTAGCCCCCTCGCAGGCCTGGCAGGCGGGCTGAGACAGAAGTCATTGATTTTGCCAACAAAAACTCTCCAGTGGCTGCAAGCCTGGGGTGAAGTGAGTGCCTTTGACTGGAAGTCCAGATTGTCCAGAATCAGTGTCTTCGAGGTATTTGCCAACAGCGAGGGAAACAGCTGCCTTCTAAATTCGGGGCCGGATCTTGCTTGTGTTTTGCTGGGCATTTTGTAGCTCTGGAAAGTCTTGTCTGGGAGTGGGCAGCTGGGGGAGTTTAAATTCTTTGCCTAGTAAGGGTGGAGGGTTCAGAGTGTCCAGAAGCCATGGAGAAGGAAGGTCATGAGTCACAGGCACCCTTGTTGACCCGCACAGACCCCTTTGTAGGGCTGGTTGGCCCAAGGTGCTCTTTCTGTGGGTGTCCACCACACCCTCCAACCGGGAGCCGGCCCACCCACGGAAGCCGGGAGGGGGCACCCTGCCCACCCTCCATCAATGAGCGACCATACATGAGTCTAAAAGACCACCCGCCTGAGCTCCATGTGGGGTGTATCTGGGACGCCCTTCACATTCAGAGCTCCGCAGGGCACTGGGCTGAGGTTAAGCTCCCAGAGGCCCCACATCCACATCTCTGCTTTGCTGCTTCCTCTGCCCCATGTGCTTCCCCCACACCCTTGTAAATTCCCCCCAAGAGCACCCCCCACCCCGCCACAGATCATTTGCCTGAGAGTCCCTGCTCCGAACGCTGCTTCTATGGAACCAGATCTAGCGCGGGGGACCTAAGGAGGCCGGAGGGACCCTGGGCGGGCCAGGGCCCCTTCGGCGGGATGAAACGATGCTGCCTGAACCGTTGTGGACTAAAGGGGCAGGGTTTTCAACCTCTGGCTGTGATGTAAGCTCTTCACCATCCCCCCCAATCTTATGTCCGATCTGTTATACAGAGGAATGCCTCGAAAGTGTGTGTGTGTGTGAGAGAGATAGACACAGGGTTGGGCTCCACAATTGGATGGACTCCAAACACGGACCATGCCGGACAGCCAGACAATCCATAAATGGAATTAAGTCAGAAATGGCCATGAGAAAGCAAATCCTTTGGGAATTTGCATAAATATGGGGGAGGGCTTGGGACTTCCTTGGAAATGGAATGGAGATTGGACGGATCCCGATCTTAAGCAGGAGGGAGACTCCAGCAGGGCGGACGTGTCCGTGACACGTCCCTTCATCCGCCATGTTCTCATTCACGACATCTGTTCTCCTTGGTCCTTGGTGACGGCTCTGCTCTCCCCTCTCAGCTGTGTGCCCAATTAAAAGGACACATTCCCCAGAGCAGCTGGGTGACTAAGGCAGCATCGACACAGCGGGAGGCTCGGGAGAGGGACTGTTCAGAAGGCTTTTTAAGAGCAGCACAGCTGGGGTCCTTTTTATCTCTTCCTTTTTCCTCCTCCATCCTGCCTGGCACATAGAAGCAATGACTGGAGCTCCAGCAGCCACTGGGAGCCATGAAGTGACCTCAAGGACAGAAGCTGCACACAGGGGCCTCCCTGGTGGTGCAGGAGTTAAAGTCTCAGAGCTATCAAGCTATTGCCAGCCACTGTGGCCTGAGTTCGATCCCTGCCCAGGGAGCTGACCCACATGACGCAGCAGACCTCTCCTGTCTCACCCGCTGCTCCCCTCAGCAGTGTATTTCAGTAGATCTGCCTGTTCTGCTCCCCACTCTGTCTCTGGTAAATCCTCTCACCCCCTGCACCTCTGGCCTGCACCCCACTTCTTATATGCATAAATAAATCTTAAAAAAAGGATGGCAGAGGATGGCAGAGCTGGAAGATGCGAGGACACTGCAGCTTCCAGGAGCAGAACCTCAGCTCCTCGTGTGCTTCCTTCCCCAGGACCACCCTTGTTGCCTGGCACCGTGGACACAGCTGGGTGAAGCGGGAGCGTGGGCTGGGGGTAAGTCTGCGCTGGGTTTGAACCTCAGGTCTCCTGTTCAGAATGAAGAGGGTGCCAGCGAACTGTGCACAATTCCACACACATTCTGCTTCGGCCGTTGTCTCTGCATCATTCATCAGGCTGAAAACGATCTCTACACTGGCATTTGGGAGAGCAGTCGGTGGCCCAAACCAAGTACACCAGCAGTCAGCTCAAAAGAAACAGCCTGAAGCGTGTGGTGTAAATGGAACGCGTGGTGTGGGCGTCCATATCACAGAGCCCTTCTCAAACTTGGGGGTGCCTCACGTCAGCTGGAGGTTCGTGGAATTGCAGGGGCTGGGCCACCCCTGCAGCTGGTGACTCAGTAGGCCTGAGGTGGGCCTGCCGGTTTGCATTTCCAGCAAACTTCCACTGAATGCTGATGCTGTGGTTGGGGACCACATCACCCTCACAGCAACTGCGCTGCTCTATTTATAAACCCCATCCTGTCGATAATTTTAAAACCTGGTAATTAATATGTGTACTTATTTCGATGCATGGGCAAATAATTATGGAGCAGCTCCTGGGGGCCAAGGTTTAGGCACGGGGGGCCCAGAAATTGAAAACAAAGTCCCTGACACCAGCTAGGGAGTTGACATCAGGTGCAAAAGGAGGACAGGGAGGACAAAAATGATTAAAAATATAATAAAGTGACAGGCAGTGATGAATGCTCTGCGGGGAAAATAAAACGGGGGAGGGGGTGAGAGGCTATTTTAGAAAAGATGGTCAGTGCAGGACTTTTAAAGAGGTGACATTTACAAGGACTGGATAAAATAAGAGTGAGCCGTGCAGACTGGGGGAAAGAACGTTCCAGGCAGAAAACACAAGGACAAAGGGCTGGAGGAGGCACCTGTCTGGTGTGTTCAGGGATAGAAGAACATGTGTAGGGCTGGGAAGGAGGGAGCAAGGGAGAGAGAGGTAGGAAAAGGGTCAGAGGGGTGGGCTGGGCCCAGCCCATGGATGATTTTTTAGGGCACAGACTTGGGGTTTTAGTTGAAGAAGCAGGGCCCTTGTGAGGATCCAATTTCTGTTTTTATTTATTTATTTATTTATTTATTTATTTATTTATTTATTTATTTATTTATTTCAAAGGTTCACCCATCCATGCATACAAGAGCTGGGGTACAAGCCAGAGATGTGGGGGTGAAGGGGGATGAGAGGATTCACCAGAGACAGAGCGGAGAACACACAGGCAGACCGACGAAACAAACTGCTGCGGGGAGCGGTGGGCGCCAGGAGAGGTCTGCTGCGCCTTGTGGGCCACTCCCTGGCCGGCCAGGGATCAAACTCGCGCTGCAGAGGACTGCGGACCGCCCCACGGTGTGGCGCTCAACTCCCTGCGCCACCAGGGAGGCCCCCAATTTCTGTTTTAAAAGGAGCCCTCTGGTTGCTGTTTGGAGAGTAGGATGTCTCGGGTCACCGTGGAGTCAAGAGGCCACTTAGGGGGTGCTGCTGCCACCCAGATAAGAAATGATGGTGTGAGGCTAGGACAGGAGGTGGCCTGGCAACAGAGGTGGTGACAGGGGGACAGATTAGATAGGGTTTAGGTGGACACCGCCAGGAGGGTCTGCTGATAGCTGGGACATTGGAGTGGGGGCCACATGGAAGTTAAGAGTGGGGGCCAGATGTGGGTTTCAGCTTGGGCAGCTGAGTCAACCGTGCTTAATCAGAAGTTCTTCGGTGCGGGTGCCGGGTCTGGTTCCTGGAAGGGCCTCCAGGGAAAGAAACGATATCATTCCTTGAGGAGCTGTAAGATGATTCCACAGAGCAGGGACAATACACTTTGGGCCCCCTTTTGTCGTTTATCTGATGAAGGTATCACTTTCCGGGCTCTGCTTGTATAACAGATGTCGGGGAGAGCTGCCTTGGAGGGAAGGGGAGAAGTGGGGGGCAGGGGATTAATGGGATAGGGCCCTGGCACTTCGGTGGGGGGTGAGTGAAGCATGCACATGTCGAGGTGTGAAATTGTATCCCCAAATTATAGAGTTATTAAGTGACTGGCAAATCAATACAACTTGATTTATAGGAAGAGAGACGCCTGCTCTATCAACTTGCTAGAGTTGGAGGGAACCAAAGAAATTAATTATGGAGACTCAAAACAGCTCCAGATGAACTCTCTAGAGGTTTACTGAAATAATTCAGTATCTATAAAACTAATTATAGTTATTATGTCACAAGTATGGTATTCACGGATAGCAATGAGGAAACGCTCTAGCTCTGGGTGGCCAGAAGGGATGTGTCAGTCCTGATTATCCATCAGTTGCTACCCGGCAAGAGAGAAGATGAGGAGCTCAGATTTTCTTGGCATTTTTTCTGGGAGTCAATTATTCCTACGCAATTTAAATGTCAGGTGGAGACTTTCTACCCTTTGAGAACTTTGAAAATATTAGTATGAACTTTCCAATTCCCTGTCCTCTATAGTTTAAATAAGGATCTCTGCAAATTTGGAGAGGAAGGTAAGGGGTCCTGTTTTCAAGGTCACCGCTGTCATCAGGCGATTGCTTCCCTCATATTGTCTTTAATTCACGCCAAATGGGTGCAACATGGAATTCACCTCTTTCCTTATTTCCTACCATAACCCCATGTGGGCCAGTCTTTAGATGAAGTTATATTTAGGATGCACAGCCCAGCAAACTAAAGTAATTAAGAAGTAATTCTAATCTTTAATTTCGTTTTTCCGATCAAACAGGAGGGACTCAATCGTATTTCACAGTTTGATTTCACGAAGCTTTCCTCTTTGTCTTGCTAGTTCTCATTCACATTCCTATTTGCTCCTATAATTTCCATCTGACAAACCGCTCAGTCTTGCGCCCAAGTCTTTCTCCTCTTTGTCCTCTTATCGTTCCCTGCTTTATTTCTGACCATTCTTCAAATTAAGTATCACAAAAGGCTGTGAAATGAGCTGCAAAAGACAACTTGCGCCAGAGCCGTGAGTGTGTGTGTGTGTGTGTGTGTATGAGTGAGAGAGTTTATTAATGTTTTTCATGACCATCTCCTTCCCCCTAATCTGCCTACAAATTATAAAAAAAAAAGTACAAATAATACTTTTTTGGGGGGTCTACTTAGCTTCTCCCCTTCTCTTGCAAATTCCCCAAGCAGTCATTAGCACGGAACGCTCCACTAAAGATTTGGTGGGAATAGGGGAGCAGGGAGAAGGCAAGGTTTTCCAGAACAGAAAGGCATCGTAGGCATTTGTGCCTTGATGGGCTTTTCAGCCCCCTGCCACTGGGGGTTCACCCCACACCAGCTCATCAGACCCATTTTGAGGGGGTCTTCCCAGTACCCTCTGAGCTCCAGCAGCTCTCCTTCCCTGCCCTTCTTTTTTTTTTCTTTTTTTTCAAAGATTTATTTATTTATTTATTTATTTATACAAGCACTGGGTACAGTCAGAGGCAGCGGAGGGTGAGAGGATTCACCAGAGACAGAGCAGGGAACAGAACAGGCAGACTGACGAAGTACACTGCTGAGGGGAGCAGTGGGCGGCAGGAGAGGTCTGCGTGCCATGTGGGACCCTCGCCGGGGGCCGGGGATCGAACTGGTGCTGCAGAGGCTGCGGGCAGCTTCGCAGCCCAGTGCTCAACTGCTGCGCCGCCGGGGAGGCCCTGCCCTGCTATATAACAGTTCAGCCTGTTGGCAAAGGGGCGAAAGCAGGGCACTGGAGCCGGCACGCCTGGGTTTGAACCCTGCCTCTCTTACAAGCTGTGCGACATTAGAAGGACTTCAAGAAGCTCTTGCCCCTTAGTTTCTCCATCTGCAAAATGGAGCTAATGGGCCTTCCTCAGAGGGTGGCTGGGAGGATGAAGTGAGTTAATTCACATGAAGGCCCTAGGGGAGTCCCTGGGTGCGCGCTGGTTCGTACACGGCCTCCTCAGCTCTTGGGCTCCTGTGTCACCTTCCGGCAGAGACGCATCAAAGTCTTTTCCAAACAAAAGCCATTTGCTCCCCAAGGAGGATTTCGGTGCCACCTGTTAATGCTGTTTCCCTTTGTTGCTTCTGTAAGGGCCGTGGCCGTGGGTCCCTACTCTGCCATCTTCTGCCTCCAGCTCCCTTAGGCAGACCCTTCACCTCCGTGAGTCTCCGTTTGCTCATCTGTGAGGTGGGAATGACAACCACGCTAGCTCTGCGGGGGTCGGGATGAAGCAGGTCCTGGGGACGAGTCTACACAGCCCTGGGCCGTTGGGTGTCGGGGGTACCGGCTGCTCTCCGTGCCCCGTGAACGGCACCCGGGTCGTCCGGGTCGTGCTCAACACACATGGTCATGGCCACCCCACAGAGCTGTGGGCCGGCACTTCCCTGTGAAGCCCGGGGCTCCAGGGAACGGTGGTGAGAGCAGGATGAGGGAACAAGGTGCTCCGGGAGGGCAGGATCGCTGTGGCCGGGAAGACTCCCCAAGGGGGCACGTCGCAGGGAGGACAGAGCAGGGGAGCACGTGGAAGGATCTTCAGATGGAGCAGAGGCCGGGAGGTGGGACCGAGCTTCAAGGCGAGGCTGGATCCCCAGAACCACCCCGCTTCCGGCAGATTCACAGACAGGGCGCCGAGCAGCTGGCCAGGCGGGGTCCAGGGTTCTTGGACACGAGGGGAGGTCAGTGAGAGAGGAGAGCGGAACAGAGGGCTCCAGAAGATTCCGTGCCGGGTGGGGGGTGGACTGCACCGTCACTACTGACAACAACAATGAAGTGTTGGGGAGGAGCACTGTCGGGAGCACTCTGGGAGGCCGAGCGCTGCCCGGGGCTGGATTCCCCAGCTCCCCTTTTCCAGATGAATTAACTCAAGCTCAGAGAGCAGAGGCTGCACGAGGAATTCATTTCAGGGCCTGAGGTATGACTCAAGCTCGTCCGGCCCAAGGCCAGGCCCCGGATGCCAGGAGAGCGGCTTCACCCCGTGTACCCTGCAGCCTCTGGGGGTAGACAGGGGAGCCCTCCCAGGACGGGGGGCCTGTGACAGCTCTGTGCTCCCTGTTCTCCTGTTCTCTCTCCCACTCCCACCCCACCAGGTGGAGACCAGCTGAGCTCTCTCCAGCGTCCTCCAGCCACGGGGCTGTCCCCCCGGAGTGCAGCTCAGTGGTCTTCCTGGGTCCTGGAGCCCTCCTGGGCTTCCTGGCCTGGATGGGACCAGCACGATGGAGATGGTGGGGGTGGGAGAGGAGAGAAGCTTCTCCAATGTGAGGGGGGTTGCACCCCCTCCAACCCTGGTTTGGCATTTTATGTGCCTGGAATGAGAAAGCCACTGTTGCTATGGAAACTGCCATTCCCTCTCCCTGTGTCTTTCTCTGTGGGAAGCTCCCGTGTGTGCGGGGTGGGGTGGAAGGGGCACTCCTCTCTCACCGGGCATTGGCTTGCAGGAGGACATCTCTGGGGTGAGGCTGCAGGTGGGTTGCTGGGGGAGGGGACCCTGGGAGCTCAGCTTGGGCTTTGGGGAGCAGCTTCAGGGCTTGGGGCTGGAGGGCAGGGGAAGGAGCAGCTGTGGAGCTCAGGTTGCTTCTCTGGAACAATCCTGGTAATGGCCCCTCACCTTGAAAGGCAACATACGGTTTGCAAGACGTGGTCAGATGGGCTCTTTGGAAAGAGCGGGAGCCAGGCAGTTAGCAGCCTCAGGCGTCAGCATCGCATAGCTGCTTTCCCAAACCTCAGTTTCTCCACATCCAGAGGACGTGTGGCGCGACAGCCACCTCGCGGAGAGCGGGCCCGTGGGCCTATGAGTCTGGGCACCTGTCCCCTGCCTGCCAACATATAGGAGGCAGCGTGCAACTAAGGTGGGTCCCTTCTCTGCCCTCCCTGTGTGACGCCATCCTGCTCGGGTAGGTGCACGAGCTCCCCTTTAGAGATGTGGAAACTGAGGCCGGCCTGGAGGAAGGAGCTTGCGGTCCACAGGGAGTCAGTGCAGGGCCAGGGAGAGACCAGAAGCCCCGCGCCTGCCACCTCCCCTGCAGTCCCTCCACTGGCTGCTGGAGCGGCCTTAGGTACCCGGCACGTGACCCCAGCTCTGCACCACGTGCTCAGCCCCAACTCTCTGGAGCTGTCCTCAGGGGGACAGGCCTGCAGTGCAAACACAAACGGCTCTCCGTTGGGCTTTTAATATTAAAATAGAATGAAGTGCTTTGTCTTCTCTGGGGGGGGCGGGAAGTGGGGGCATGGGGGAAAATAACAATCCTTCAAACCCCAATGTCGACACCCCCGCCAGTACCCCTCTCAGCTCCCAGAAAGGAAATAGTTCCTTCCAGGTGATTTGTTAGCTCTTTCTGGGGCATAAGAAGGTGGAAAACTAATTATAACTTCTCAGATTTTTTTTTTTTAGCTTTCCTGCTTTTCAAACCAGGGGCAGGACATCAGGTGTCCCCCAAGTCCACTGAGTCCGGGCAAGAATTGAAGCAGGAGGTAATTTTACCCCCAGCAGCCAGGTTCTAGAAATTCCAGTAAGCAGGGGCGTCAAGTAGAGTGGGGTCCTGCTAGTGCTCACCTCCTCCCCCGCCCCAGGAAAGCTCCTGCTCCCCCACCAGATATATCACCCCAAGAGTCAGGAGGCTGAAGCCAGATGCATAAATTTGTGAAAGCTGGAGATGAGAGACCGGAGCCCCAGAGCAACTGCTTCCTGGCACTGCTGTGTGTCCTTGGGCAAGTCGCTCCCCCTCTCTGGGCTACCTCATCTGTCACAGGGAGACCATGCTGGTCTTGCCCTCTTCCCAGGGTAGTCATGGAGGCTCAAAGCAAGACTGGGCTGATTTCTTGGCTGCAGAATTAGGGCAGAATATAGCAAAAGTGGAGAGGATCCTGCAAGGGGAGATCAGGGGCAGAGACCCCTAGCGTGCCTAGTGGGGGGAAGTCTAAGAGATTTGGCTTTAATGGAAGGTCCTTAATGCACTTTAAAAAAAAAATAATAATAGGTAGCCAATTTCTTTTTTTTTAAGATTTTATTTTTTTATTTATGCATACAAAAGCTTGGGTACAGGCCAGAGGTGCAGGGGTGAGAGGATTCACCAGAGACAGACTGGGGAACAGAACAGACAGATTGACCGAAGTACACTGCTGAGGGGAGCAGTGGGCGAGTCAGGAGAGGTCTGCTGCACCATGTGGGTTGCTCCCTGGCTGGCCGGGAATCAAACTTGTGCTGAAGTGGCTGCTGAGAGCTTCATAGGTTGCGCCTTAACCCCTTGTGCCACCAGGGAGGCCCCCTTCATGCACACTGAAGGATAAATCATTGCAAGCTCCCTATGAGTGTGGTGACAGAGGCTAGCCCAGGGAGGGGCTCACATCACTCAGCTTATTGATCTGCAAGCAGCCGGATGGTCGTGACCAGGCCTGGGGCAGAGAGGGCTCTGCACGGGTGCTGGGAACAAATTAATAGACACGTTGAGAGGACAGATGTCAGTCTCTACAAGGGCCAGAGAGGCACAGGCGGGGGAGATGGACTAGCATTGAGCACTTGCCACATAGGTCTGGATGCTGAAGAGAAACAGTTAAGTTTTACAGAGTCCCTGCTACAAAAGTTGGGGTGAGAACGCCGTTTCTGGAGCCAGGAGACCTGGACTGGAACCTCGGCTCTGCGACTAGTCGGCTGTGTGGTCCGGGGAGAGTTACTGCTCGTTTTTGGTGTCTCAGATGCCCATCTGCAGCTGGGGGCTAGTGATGTCGTTTACTCAGGAGGGGCGGAGAGGATGCTCTGCCCTGGAGCCTGCCAGAGTAAAAAGTGCTGTGGGGTGGTCCCTGCCACCACCAACCCTTGGTCCTGAACTTCCTCGTTCTGTGAAATCTTTGCTGCGATCCTAATAGAGGTGCTGTAATTATCCCCATTATCCAGATGGGGAAACTGAGGCTCATGCAGATTCAGCCACGTGCCCATCTTGAACTTGGCAGTCCCAGAACTTGAGCCCAGCCCTGGGCCCCTCTGAGGACACCCCAGGCCCGCATCTCCAGCCCAGAGAGCAAGACCTGACTCAGAACCTCGGGGCATCTAGAGGTGCCAAAGCCAAGGCTTGCTTTGTCACACCACACCTTCCATGGTGGGGCGGGAGAGGCTGCCTTGCTGGGGCCAGAAATGCGGGGGCCCCTGCCATGGGGCAGGCAGCCCCCATGCTGTTCTGTCATTAGCCCCTGTCCCTCCACTCTGCCCAGTCTCCCTCCTCTCTGTGCTTCTACCCCAGCCTCTCCAGCTCCCTGCCTGCCCCTCCCCCCCTCCCCTGAGAAGATGAATCGGGCCCTACTTGCCAGCAGCCTCAACCAGGATGGGTAATTCATGCCCCAGCTCCTTCCTCCTTATCTGATCCTCTCAGATTTTGTTACTTTTGGCCGAAGACTATTCAGACATGTGATAGCCGGAGTGAGTTACGGCGTGTAGCTGAATTTCCCTGCACGGAATGCGGAGCCTCCTAAAGGTCATTTTATAAAAGGAGCTGCCGGATCGATGCGCTGCGCGTCAGCGTGATTGCTGTGTCAGCGTCAGGAACGGGGCACGAATAGATGATGGAAGAGTTATTTACTCGCCCGTGTCAGGAATAAGCTATTTATCTTTTTTGGAATTGAGTTAAAACGCCTCCCAAGGCATTCAGAGCAGGCTCCTGGGAGAAAGGGTGGACGAGAGCTAATAACAGGAAGGCGCGCTGGCTTGATGGTCTCTTCAGCGGAGAGCGATGAACTGGAGGAGTCTGGAGACACCGGGATTTTGTGGCAGATGATCCTCCCTCCTCCCTCCCTCCTCCTCTCCCTTCTTTCCTTCCCAGATCAAGGAATTCCTGTTTTAGGCCCCAGGAATACAAGAGGTGGAGAGGCAGAGGGGCAGTGCTGCGCTTGAGGGGGGGTGAGGGGGGCAGGCATAGGCAGTGAGGCTGGCCGATTCTGGGTGCTGTGATGGGGGCTACAGGGACACCCATGTGCCAGCACCAGGCGAAGCGCTGGGGTGTGGACACTGCCCTAGGGAGGCTGAGAGTCGAAGTGACAAATGGCACACGGTGTTGAATTGATCAGACCCTGCCCTGAGGGTGCAACCTGCAGAATAACCCCGAGCCAGGGTGGGCTTAGGAGGTGAGTGCGGGTGGCATCAGACAAGCCATGGGTGTGGGCTGCGCAGAGCAAGCCGAGAAGCCGAAGGATGCTAGGGTGCCTAAGGAGGTGCATCCAGAGGAGCAGGAGAGGTAAGGGTGCGGGGGGGCATCCTCCGTGGCTGGCAGGGAACAGCGGGGCAGCCCGTGCGCAGGGCTGGGCGTGGATCGCTGCAAAGGCCGGTTCCGGCTTGGAACCATGAGCGCAGCCAGGTGGAAGGCTCGTGCCAGCTGGCCATCTGTTGAGAAGGGTCATATCGGTGCCACCTGGCCTGCGGCGGGGAGCATCTGGGAGGCAGAGCACGCCTCTGTTTGATGGGCTCCATCATGATTAATTCAGCAGCATCAGACCCCTGCGGCCTGGGGCCGGCGCTGGCCCAGGCTGTTCTCCAGCCCTGTTCTGAGCACACACGCCTGTCATTTTGGGTGACTAGGACGGGGCAGTGGGAGGCAGAAACCGGCCAGGGGAGCAGCCTTCTCCACCTTTCCTAGGGTGGCGGTGGGGTTGGGGTGTCCAGCTCACCTGGCGGCGAGCTCTGCCTGCTCCAAGGGGGCCTGCCGCAGCGGTCCTGCCTCAAGGGTCTCAGGATCAGCGCTGTCCCTCCCGGACGTGTCCTTCTAGACATCCCAGGACCCCCCCGGGATGCCTTTCATGCTGGATGCGTGTGCCCACACCCACACCCACATGTGTGTGCAAACATGTGCCCAGCACATACCTGCACCCAAGAGCATGAATGCAACCGAGCATTATGTTAACCAGCCTGAACGACCGTGTCATCCCGCGCGAGAACACGGCATCCACACGCCGCGCCGCATGTTTCCAGCACCTGCTCATCCATGTTCTCCGTGTAGGTCTCACCGTCAGCCCCAGAGTGGTCCCAGCCAGCCGACGCCTGAACAAGGCCTTGCTGGCAATTTTTAGCACAGCTAATTTAATGACAATTCTGTTTACAAAATTGTTTATTTTTTAATTTTTTTAAATAATGCCCTGGGAACTCATAGCTGGTTAGTGGTAAGGTGAGCCACCTACGGTAGACAGTAGCCAGAGCTGGAATTTTCACCACGTGCATCTGAACCTCGCACGGTTTCCCTGCTGTTTGCGTGCGTGGCACAGAGCCGGAGGCTGGCGACAGCCCGTCCCTCCCCGCCTCTGCTCATCTCCCTAATGACCAGCTTTTTAAAGTGAAGCTAACCCTAAGCTAAACACTTTGCAGGTGTGGATGGTGGTGACAAAAACCTATAAAGTGGGGATCGGTGTATTCCCATTTTGCAGATGAGGAAACCGAGTCAGAGGCCTTGGCTAATTTCAGTGACACAGAGGGAGGTGGGGGGAGTGAGCCCATCAGATGGCCCAAGCTGTCTGTCCCCTCGAGGCTTTATTGCCTCCCCCCTCCAGGGTCCCTGCCACAGCAGGTCTCCAGCAACACCCTCAGGACCCCGGGGTGGGCAGGGGACTGGCAGGGAGGGTGAGCCCTGGCTTGCCACAGTGGCCACCCCAGGCCCTCTGGCACCCCATGACGATCCTTAATTCTGAATTATCCGTGGTTCCCCGTGGAGGGAGCAGGGAGGGGCAGAGCCAGCTTCCAGATGGCCCTTCTGGCGGGCGTGGGCTTCAGCTGGTCTTTATGTAAGAGTTACTCGGCTTCCCAGATTGCCTTCGAGGCAAACGTTTAAACACTTGTTTTGTGTTTATGACACAGAGAAAGAAATTAAAAGGCCCCCAGGGGAAAATGAGGAAGGCAAAAAAAAAAAAAAAGAAAGAAAGAAAACCCAGGAGTGATTCTGGGGACTTGGCTCACAAGACGGAGAGAGAAACCAGGTCTGGGACTGGTTTCAAGATTACTGGGAGCAGGTGGCTTCCCTGGGCTTGGGCACAAGATCCAGGATTCCACGATCCCAGCAGGGAGGAGGGGAGCTCCTTCTGGTGCCAGACAGCGCCAGAAAGCTGCGGTGATGGAGGCCTGCTGAGCGTGGCAGCTCCGGCCTCCGCGTTCTGTCTCTGACGAGCTCAACACCCTGCTTTGCAGACGGGGAAGCGGAGGCTTAGGAGGCGCAGGGACTTGGCCAAGGTCAGGCTGTCTGAGAGCCGGACTTGACCTGGGACTGCAAGAATTCTTCCCAGCGAGGATGCCTCCAGCAGAAAGCCTGCCAGGAGGGAGATCCAGCTCCCGCGCCTCCCCAAGCTCCTCACCGCGACCTCAGAACCCGGCGTCTTACTGTCTGGCCTCTTGTTATTCAGAGGGTCCTGGAACCCGGGGTTTTTGATTCTCTGGGGCATCTGAGCCGCCTCTGAACACTGGCAGGGGTCGGTGGACACCTCTCCACCGTACTCTCTCCCGGGTGTTGCTTTTCTGGTCTGTGCCCTGAAGGGTAAGCCCAGGCGGGCCCTCAGAGGTGGCAGAAGCTCAGCAAGGAGACTGCCAGGGGACACAACTGCCATCTCTTCCCAGAGGAGCAAGCAGAAGCCGGGGTTCGCCCAGGCTCACGCAGTGAGCCGGGGATAGAGCAGGGCCAGGACTCAAGCTCTGGTCCTGTTCAGTGCTCTTCCCGCTCCACCTACATCTGCTCCCTCCTCCACACCCCCAGGCCGAGGGCAGGACCCTCCTAGCACAGCTGAGTGGGCCCTTTGTCATGACCCTCGGGGACTCTGTTGTTCAGGATCAGGATCCAGGGGGTGGTGGGAGCTCCTCGCAGAAGGCCTGGTCCAGAGGGCACCAGGACATGATGCAGGGGAGAGGCAGGTGAGGAGGGCAGGAGGAAGGAGGATGGAGAGCAGCAGGGGGGTCGCCCCTGTGAGGGACCCCACCCCCAGACAGCCTGCCGTCAGGAAGAGCCCCAGGAGACTGTTTCCTGGCCCACCGCAAGCAGGAAGCGGTTTGGTAAAATGGCAACACACGGACAGAGCACAGACGTGATCTGCTTTGTATAAGCCCGAGGGCTCCTCGCCGCCATGCCCGGGGCAGAGTGGGCAGGGGCTGGCATTACCTGCGTTTTGCCGATGAGGCAACTGAGGTGCAGCCAGGTCCTGCTGATAACCAGAGACGGAGCTTGAACTAGAAAGGCTAGAACTTGCAGCGTGCGGCCAGCTCTGCTTCTCCCGTGACAGACTCCATTCATTCATTCACTCATTCATTCATTCACTCCTCCTGTCATTTACTCCTTCACGCTCTCGTGATCGCCCTGCCTTTCCTTGAACCCCAAGTGCACCCCGCCTCAGAGCGTCTGCACTTACTTCCCCTCTCCCTGGAGTGCTCTTCCCACAGATGTCCTGGGGCCCCTGGCCTCACTCTGCTGACCACCCCCCACACCTGCTGTGGTCGCCCCATTGCTCTCACACACCTTGTTTGTGTCATTTTTCCTCAGGCACTAATCACAACCTGACCTTTAAAATCTATTTCTCAGAGTGGAGCTAGGCTGTTCCAGCCTACGTGGTCACAGCTGATTCTCTCTCTGTAACACCAGCTCCTTGAAGGCAACTTTGTCTGGTTCCCCATCTACTCCAAGCACTAGGCTCTTGCCCCACACCGAGTCAGTACTGTATTTACCGAGTGCCCTGCACACCTGTCCTGTGCCAGTGAGGCACACAGGTGACTGCGGCTGTCTCCTGCTCGCAGGGAGCTCAAGCGTGGACCTCGGATGGAATGGTAGGTGAGGTGAGGCAGGCTCCCTCTCAGCCGTTGGGACAGAGCCTATGGAATAACCCTCCAGAATCACTTCTTACCCTTTTTCTTAATAACAGAACCCCAAATTTAGCTGAACATGAGATTATTCAGAATAAAAGCCACCTTTCCAACCTCGCTTGCAGCCCAGTGGGGTCAAGTTCCAGAAGTGTCCTTAGAGAAAGGAGGTGCGTCCTTGTTCACCCTTTCGCCTGCTTCTGGCTAGCCTTCAGCAGCCATCTTGAGCCATGAGAATGAGGTGGCTCCTAGAACATGTCTAGGGGACTTGTTTCTCTAGACAGAGACTGACTGTCCCTATTGTTCACCAGAGGCAGGGGTGGAACTGTGTCGTGTCTGGATCTGGGCTGTGGCATGGGACAGGACCAGTTGTTTTTGTGGGTAATTGGCTAGATTAGCATGCATTGACTCCATTTATTCATTCCCTCTTCCATTGACCTTTTCGTTCAGTCATTCAATCACCCCACCATTCACCCATGAAGTTCATCCACTCATCTATTTATCCATAAAACATCCCAGGGCAGGGAGCCAGAGGGCTGGGATGTGAGTTGGAGCCAGCTTCTCCTGGAGCCTGGGAGCAGGGCCTGGGGGTCTTGAGCCCCCATCGCTGAGGCAGAGCAGAGCTTGCTCGTTGCTCTGGCCCCAAATGTGAGCCTCTATGAGGTAAAAGGGACCACATTTTGGATTGCAAGAGCATGGGGTTCCTTGTGCAAGGGCACTGAGGCCTCCAGGGGCCCTGGACCAGGTGAATGTAGCCCATCCCCTTCCCTGTGTGAGGGCGAGGACACAGCACACCTGCGTGTTCCTTAGGCCATGAAAGGTGGCTGGTCTAGTGAGAGACTGACTCATGAGTCTCGTAGCCTCTGAAAACTCTGTAAAACTTAGAGTCTCTGCTTAGGACACAGTATTAAGAGTATTCTAGAAGAGAATCAGAAACTCCTAGACCTTGTATGCTTTCTACAAAACTAAGCCAGGATCTCCCGTGAAGATGGGGCCAAAAAAAGAATCAAAGGACTTGGGGTGGTGAATGGGGAGGAGGGGCCGAGAGGCCACAGGATACCCAGCGCTCCTCCGGGGCCGACTTGACAGGAAAAAGGGAAACACGCTGAGAAGGAGTTGGCGCTGGATGGTCGTGGTGAGCTGGGAACAAGCCAGTTTTCTCTCTGGTATTTGATGGGTCTGTACATCCTTGTAGACACTGTGGTCAAAACTGACAAGGCAGAAACAAAGCAAATGTATCTATTTTGTTAAATAGCAAACTGTTCCCCAATATGGTGGCTGCAAGGAATAATGATATTAAGATTTCTCATGTTTCTGTGGCGGGCAGGGCAGAGCAGGACCCTTCTCCACTTGCTCATGGATGAACACATTGGCAGCTGATGCCGGAAGGTTCTAGAAGGGCATGTCATGTGGCCTCTCATCTTCCAGGTGACCTTTCTCACCTCCTGGTTTCTCCTTTCTGTAGGATAGCTTGGATTCCCTTACTACCTGGTGTTGGATTCCAAGTAAAAGAAGCTTCTAGGCCTCTTGAGGCCCCAGCCTGAAACAGGCAAGGCTTTACTTCCGCCACATTTTGCTGGTTAAACCACATCCCACACTCCAGTGGGAAGGAAACTACCTCTACCTATTGATGGGAGGGACCGTGGGTGGACATATTAACAGACACGAGCCCCAGGATGTTGGTAGGGGTCATGGAACTCACAAGGAAGGTGAGCCGTGATCTACACACATTTGGCTTAGGCGCAACTTTAGGGTACACCTACGGGGCTGGGGCCGGGTTCTGTGTGACCCGCTCTGCCTCTCTCCCACCCTCTTGTGTTCCTCTTTTTCAAACAACCCCTTCGACTAGAAACCACTAAAGGGAAAGAGAAATACACCAAGGCCACAGTCATTAGCATCCCAGAACATTGGATTCTATTTCTGGCAGCTCCAAAGCAGTTGGCAAACCTCTGCCGGCGCTTCTCCAGCTCAGCACGCCAAGGTAACGAGCCGCCCACTGTATTATGTGGCATCAGCAGAAGTGCGGGTGCCTAGCTAAAGAGGAAATAGACTCGCTCCCCTCCTGCCTGCACCTGGGACTTGGGGTTCAGCTCCGGGATCCCAGGGAGGCCACTCACTTTGTGTGCCCACTGTGCGCGGGGGACCTGCTGGCCCTTGTTCCCTCTGCAGCCTCCTCTGTGCTGCTTGCTCTCCCCCCTGCTCTGCAGCCCTTCTGGGTGCATTTCAGTTCTTTGAAAGGGCCATTCTCTCTTCCAGGCTCCCTTGTCGTGTCCTGATCCCGCTGCTAGGTGCCTCCTCTGGCTAACTCCAATGCATTTCTCCAGCCTTAGTTCACAGCCCGCCCTCCAAGGCAGGGCCACGCTCGGCTCCTAGCCCAGTGTTCTCTGTTTGTTGAGTGACTGGATGGTAGAATGAATGAGTCCTCACAGCTGCCCAATTGACAGATGAATCAACTGGGGCTCACAGAGAACTGGCAGAGCCAGGACTGAATCCAAGAATGTTTGGGGGCCAACTTGTGCCCTTTCTACCACACCTGGGTCAACGAAGGGTGGACAATGTGGGGGTACAAGGGAGAGGGTGCTGGAGGAAGAAGTGAAGGCCAGCACACCTCCTGCCCCGTTGCTTGTGCAAGATAATGCCAGAAATGAGGTGGAAGCTGGGGTCAGCCCCTGAGTGGAAGGTTTTGCTAGAGCCTCCGTGAGTCTGGCTTCCTCGGTCTCCGTGTAGACAGGAGGGTCTGACAGCGGCTCATTAGCTGTCAGAACCCGAAAAGCAGTGCTAACTTGCAGGGTTTTTGGCACCCTTTGGTTAAAGGGGTTCAGGGCAGATTCCAGGTTAGAACCAAGAGGTTTAAGTCCCAGGTGGCCAGTCGGGTGCACTGGAAGTAGATTCAGAGTCCAGATAGACTGAGAGCCCCAGCTCCACCCATTAGAGCTGAGAGACCCTGGTCCAGGTACTACCCCTCCCGAGCCTTCCCTCCTGGTAACCACTCATTGCTCTTAGAGTTTAAGATTTTATTTGTTTGATTTCTTTCTTCCACGAGTTTAATCATCTGTGCTTGTCTTTCTCTGATGTCACTAAGCATAATGCCCCCAGGCCCACCCAGAGTGCTGCAATTGGCAGGACTTTATCTTTCTGCTGCAGCTGGGTGCTCTCCCAGTGCGCCCCACCCAGTCTTTATTCTCTCATCCCCCAACGGGCATTCAGGTTGCTGCTGACTCTGGCTGTTGTGAATAATGCAGCAGTCAACACAGGGTGCAGATACCTCCTCAAGCTCGTGTTTTTGTCTTTTTCAGATAAGGACCCACAAGTGGGTTAACTGGATCATGTGAAATTTCTATTTTTAATTTTTGGAGGCATCTCCATACTGTTTTCCATAATGGCTGCACCCAAGTGCGTTCCCACCCAGAGGCACAGGGCTCCTGTCTCTGCACATCCTCCCCACAGCGTGTTCCATATCTTCGGATAATAATCGTTCTCACAGGTGTGCGGTGACAAGTCAGTGTTGTTTTGATTTGCATTTCCCTGGTAATAAACAATGATGAACATCTTTCGCGGGCCTCTTGGCCATCTGTATGTCTTCCTTGGAGATGTGTCTATTCAGATCTTCTGCCCATGTGGTTATAGGGGTGGGCCCAGTGCCTGTGGGTGTGAGGGCTGCATGGACAGTTCTCATCCAGATGATCTGGTTACTCTGGCTATTCCTTTTCTGACTGCGCTTTTAGCTCGACCTCACCTGGTGCACTGACCACACTCTCCTGGTTATCACTGCGCTGTGCTAGTGCATTCTCCGAGGACAGATGAGGTCACAAAGGGTATGCTAGGGAGGGTGCTTGCTGTCCGAAGACACTTAGTGAAGGAAATTCAGTTTATGCTGCCCGCCCAAAGCTGTGAGCCTTGGAGAGGGGTTTTCTCTGCCTATGGAAGTTTCCTTTTTTCTAATTTGCACAAAAGCTGCCAATGGGATGGAAGGCACCTGAGTTACCTATGGGGGGGTTCATCCAGCTTAGAAGCATGGAGTCAAACAGAACCCCAGAGAGGATCTGACACAACATCCTACTGCAAAGAAAAAGAGGCTGCTGTTCACTCATTCATTTATTGGCTTCCACCTTCATACTCAAGAAGGCGAGGACACGCAGGCCATAAACGACCTGTTTTGCAAATCTATTTGGGTGTTGATCAGAACATCAAGCATCCAGACAGCAAGGTCAGAGGGCACAAGGTGCTGTGGCTTTCAAAATGAGGTCTGAGTTTGGCTGGCAAGACTGCACGAGAGGGGTCTCTGTGGAGTGTTCCTCACAGCAGAGAAGGGCGCATCAGGGCAGGGTGGCCAGATTCCAGGAAGAAATCCAGGAGTCTGTGCAACGCCAGGGGTATAGGAACCTGGCAAGCTCAGGGGGCTTCTGGTCTGTCTGCTGGGTTGGCGCCTCAGGGGCGCGGGGGGGGGGGGAAGAGTGCTGGGAAGTGAGGACCAGAGGGTGAACAGGAAACTCCTGGTCCAGCTGGGACTAGAATGCAGACTCCTGACTGTGGAAGGGTTTGCTGGGATTGTGAGGGTGGAGGGAGCAGGAGCATCTGTGCAGGCTGCAGGAACAAGCAGGTGAGCTGGGGCACCCCTCTGCCTAGTGAACCCATCTCCAGGCCTGATGCCAGTCCACTCAGCCAGCTATTCTCTACCGACTAGTGCCTGGCCCGGTGCCCCTCATCCAGCCGGAACTATGCAGCTGGTGACCCTGTGACCTGAGACCCAGGGTGTATTCAGATGCCAAGGCCGGTCAAGGCCAGGAACTCAGGGTTTGTTCAGCCCCAGATGGTGCATTCAGCAGAAAAGAGCACTCTGCGAGGAGCCGGGACTAGCCTGCTGCTGGCAACGGGTGCATCTGGGCGCATCCAGGCATGCTACAAACTCTCTTGACCAAATGACCTATAGGATTCGGCCAGCTCCAATCTTCGGGCCAGTGTTCTCCCATATTGGATTTGGAATGACCAGAGGGCTGGGGTCACAGGTGCCAGCCCCACCCCCAAGTTTCAGGTTCAGTGGGTCTCATTCACGCACTTGAGAACCTGCATTTCATCCAAGTCCTAGATGCCGCCGAGCTGCAGCCCAGGGACCACGCTTTGAAAACCCCTGCTCTTGCATATCAGATTCACTTGGGGGAGCTTTGAACTGTGTGCATGTCAGTCCCAGCCTTGGAGCAATTAAATCAGCACCTCCAAGTGGGGTCTGGCCTTGGTTATCACTGGGGAGCTCCGAGGGGCGACTCCCAGGCGGTCAGGGGTAGGAATCACTCTTCGAGAAAAGACACCAGGCCTGTGACGGAACATTGGCCGTGAAATGCCTTATTTCCCTTTGGAGCAATCCCTCTCAAACCCCAGCTCAGCCTCTCCTTGGTTGCCTGGCTTTGAACAGCCTCGCCTGCCTCAGTTTCCTTCCCTGTCCATGGGGCCCTTCGGAGGACTAAGCAAAACTCAGCTCAGCTCGCGCGGCTGCCTCCCCTCCCACTCGTCTCCAAGGAGAGCTGGTGCTTTCCTTCTGCTTGGAGGCAGTTCGGCTGAGCACAATTCAATAAGCATTAATTAAAAACTCACAATGTGTGAGATGCTGCCCTTAATAATGTGGGAATACAGTGGTGAATCAGGCTCCGTCCCCACCCCAGGGAGCTCACATGCTGATGGGTGTGATGAGGCCGCAACACAAGCGCACAACAGCGCAGAGAACCGGGGGACCGGCCGGCCCTGAGCTGATTTACAGTTTATTTCACCTGCACCCCATGGGGTAGCTACTATGGTAACACCATTTTACAGGTGAAGAAACTAAGGTTTAAAGGACAGTCACCCACAGTGCGGGGCCCATGTTGTCGTCATGGGAGCCCAGAGGAGCTGAGATTCACAGCTCCCAGGGCGAGGAGGCTTGTGGGGAGAGGTGTGTTTGAAGGCCGTGTTGATGGCGGTGTAGAGGTGCCTGCCACGTCCAGAGTTAAATTCCTTGGAGGGAGAGAAGAAGAAATCCCACATGGAGGGGCGAGCTTGCACGAAGGCCTGGCGGAGGGAAGTCCAGCCTCCGTAGGGCCCCGGGCCAGGTCTGCAGGGCTGAAAGGCAGGGCTGACGGTGGCGGACAGTGGGACTCAGATCCGGGCTGGAGGCCTGTGTGCTGGGCTCAGGGGTTTAGCTTTATAAGCAGTGGGAGCCACTGAAAGCTCTTGAGCAGAGGTAGCATTTTTAGAAAAAGGTGAAAGTGGTTGGTTATGGGTTTTGGGAGAAAGGGGTGACAGACAGGGAGCCCAGTAGGGGAGGAGGCTGCAGCAGATGGTGCAGGTGAGACGGTGAGGCCGACGAGGGGGTGAGAAAGTGGGCATGCGTGGGGGATGCACTGTTGCCACTTGGAGCTTCCGCGGCATCAGTCCCAGGCACACACCGGCTTACTGACTCAGCCGCTCTGTACTGGCGTAGGGGCAGGAATAGGGCAGCTGGGTCTTCTGGGCTTCTGAAGCTCCACACGCAGCTCCCCTTGGATGGGGATACGGTCAGTGGAGCGTGACCCACTCAGGATAGAGGACTCGGCTGAGAAAGCACGTGATGCGTTTCCTGGATCAAGTCAAAAACTGGCTGCCTGTGGGGTGGGAATAGGGGGACTGGCTGAGTGGCCAGCCTGCCAGGTAAAACATGCCACCCTGATTACCTCTGGTGCCAAGTTCAAGGCCAGCTTGAGGCTCGCAGCTTCTATGCATCAGGCTGAGCACAAGCCCCCTGGGCAGAAGCCAGTTAGTTCCTAGAAGCAAAGTCTGGATAAAGAGCTCTGGACTAGGATCCTGCCACCTGCTCCCTGAGTGACCTTGGCCACAGCCCTCAGCCCCTCCAGGCCTCGATGTCTCAGTCTCCGTTAGAGGGATGAAGCGGTGCGAGGACTATACTTTCCATCTCCTTCTCCTCCTGCCTGTGGTCTCTGGTTAACTGCCCGGAGACTCTCCAGACCACGCAGGGGCAAGGATAGCAAGACACTTTGCACACTCAAAGGCCGAACCATTTAGCACTTATCACTCTGGGCCCGTCACGCCCATGTTACAGGTGACTCAAGCAAGGCCCAGGGAATTCCTCTGACTGGCCCAGGGTCTATTATTTGGGTGGCGACAGGCAGGACTTGATGAGAATCTCTCTCACTTGAAGGAGATGAACCCTCAGCTGGGTGTCCCCAAGGGCCTTATGCCTATCATGAAGTGGGGGGCTAGGCCTGGGGGGGTTCAGAGTTCTGGAAGTGAGGGACAGTGCCCTGGTGGCTACAAAATATGGTCAGACTCAGTATCAAGTCCCTTCACCAAATCTCACAGCGGGAATAGTCTTTTCCTTTTCTTTCAAGCCTCCTGGTGACTGGAGGGAGAGTCAGGATGGAGCTCACAGGGCTGTCACACCTCCAGGAGCCTCCCTCCCCGGAGACCTCGCCAGCCTCGGCAGTGCAGCGTCCAGCCAGAACGTGGAAACCTTGCTTTGTTTTTCATCCTGCTTATTTTCACTCATCTTCTATTGATGGCAAATGATCCTGGTTTCCCACTCAAGGCAGTAATGCAAGGATTCTCTAAAAACAACAAAAAAATCGTTTAAGGGGAGGGAACGTGCGTCTTGAACGAAAAGAAAATATTCAGCAGAATCTAGAGCTGCCCGATTAGCTGACCCAGGGCTGCCCTGGTCCGAGGTCCTCATTAGACGGCGGGGAGAAGCGAGGCCACGAGGCGCGGCCCGAGGGCACCTGGCTCCGGCGGGGCGGGGCGGCCCCCCCCCCCAGCTGCCCCCCCACCTGCGCCCAGCCTGATTTCCATCAAGGCGCCGCGAGGCCAAGGTGGCTCCGCGGCCCCCCCGCTGGCGGCACGTGCGCGCCCCATATGCCAGCTCGCGGGGTCCCGCGGGCACCGAGGCTTCGGGCGGCGGCGGCCGGGGGCGGGCAGGCCGGGCACCTGGGGGGCACCTGGGGTCTCCGCTTAGGAGCGGGGTGCGGGAGCCGGCTGGACCCGGGCGGGGCGCCTGCGGCCGGGGCGGCGCGCGTGCGTGTGAGCGCGCCCTCGCCAGCCTCCCGGGCCCGCGCCGCCTTCCGGCCCCGGCGCGCGCCCCCGGCGCCCCGGCCGCGCCCCCCGCGCCCCGGCCCCCCGCGCCCCGGCACGCGGAGCGCCAGACTGCGGCGCCGGCGGGGGGGCGGGGCCGGGCCGGGCGTGGGCGGGGCGTGGGCGGGTCTGGGGGCGGGACCGGGCCGCGGGGCCCGCGCGCATTGGCCGGGCGCCGGGGGGGCGGCGCGGGAGACGCGGGGGACCCGCTCGGGCCGAGGCGGGCGCCGGCGGCGGGACGGGGCTCGCGGGCGGCGGAGGGGCGGGCGCGCCGCGCTCCATCCCGGAGGGAGGCTCGCCCGGGGCGCCCGGCACGAGCTGAGCCTCAGTCGCGGGGCCGCCCTCGGGAGCCCGGGCTCCGCGCGCTGCTCCGGGGACCCCGCGCTCGCCTGCCCGGGGAGGGGGGCGGCCGCCCGCGGTGGGGGGCCGGGAGGAGCCAGCAGCGCCCCGCAAAGTTCGCCTCCTCGGGGTCGGCAGGGGTGACGCGGGCGGAGGAGCCTCCTGCAGCCTCAGCGGAGCTGCGAGCCGGGGCGCGTGCAGGGCCCCCTCCCACACGCGCGGCGAGCGCCCCGCTCCTCCTCCAGCCGCCGCGGCGCTTCGCGGAGAGGGGCCTCCCTGCGCGCCGGGAGAGCTGCGGAGCGCGGGGAGCGGAGCAGCCTCGGACCAGCCGGGCGGCCCCCACGACCCCCAGCGAGCCCCTTGGGGCGGGCGCATAGGGCGGCGTCGGCCGCCGGGGGTGCGTGCGCCCAGGGCGCACACGCGCGCGCTCGCTCCTGCAGGGCTCTCCGGAGACCTCAAGGGCCGCCCGTGAGTCGCCGAGTCGCCCCTGCGCCCTCCCCCAGCCCCGGAGCCCCAGGCCGGGCCCGGCACCCGACGGCCCCGCGCTCCGGGCACCTGGCTCAGCAGGAGTCCCCCGGGTCGGGGCAGGGCAGGGCCGGCAGCGGGGAGCCGAAGCCCGCCCGGCGCCCAGGCCCCAGCGAGCCCGCAGAAGCCACCCATGGGGCACCGGCTTCGCGCCCTCCCTCGCCGGGCCGCGCCCCGCCCGGCGCCCCGCGCCGCGCCAAGGAGGAGGAGGCCGGCGCCGTGACCCGGGAGCCGCCGCAGGCTCTGGAAGGCTCGGCCGCCTCGGCCCCGGGGAGGCAGGCGGCTCCCCGCACCTCCCGGCGCTCCCGGGCAGCCCTCCGAGTCGCTCCAGAGGGCTCGTGCGCCATTCACAGGTAGGAGAGAGACGCCCCGGCAGAACTGGGGCGCTCGGTGCAGGGGGAAGGCGGGAAGCTTGGGTGGGGGCTTGGGGAAGCGCAGGTCGAGGTGAACTCAGGCTGCGCCTCCACGGTCCGGCTGGGCGCTGGGCCCCTGCTCACCCCAGGAAGGAGAGGCTTGGCAAGGGCGCACTCGCGGGGAAGATCTGGTCAAAGCCCGTTTCAGTGCAAGGAAGCTGAGGCCGGGAAGGAAGAGGTGCTGACCGTCCCCCAACACTCCAGCCCCCTCCCGAGCCGGCTGCAGCCTGCACACCTGGATGGGGATGGGGGTGGGATGGGACCTGTTGGTGCCCCCCACCGCCAGCCCTAGTGAGGACTTCTGCTCATGGGGGACCCCACCGAGGAGGCCCTTCCTCATTCAGAATTCCTGGGGCTGTTTTTCTGGGTTTGTGTGAGTTTCCAGGGTGTCTCCCTTCTCCGGAAGGTGTGCTGCCTTCACTTGTCCAGCTGCCTCTCAAGGGCCCACTTTGACCTCGCCTGCCTTTGCCCCGTCCCTGGGAGAATAACAAAGGATGTTGTCCAGAACCTCAGGGGAGGTAGGCCAGGCTGGGAAGGGACCCCAGGATTCAGGCTGCCCCCTGGCCTCAGAGAGGACAAGGTGGGGTCCCCAAGACCTCTGCCTGCACTCCGGTCTGCCCTGCCTGCCCCCTTGGCTACCACAGAGAAAGGAACCCCCTGGATGTGTGGCAGGAGCCTCTGGACTTCACACCAGGCTCTTGGGGTCACACTGGGTTTGTTTCTACTCATGAGACAGAGGACCAGTCCCCCACCCCAGCCCCAGTCCTTTGCCCAAGGTTGCCCTGCTGGGCAGGGGCAGCGCTGCTCTGCCCAAGGCTGATGCCTGCTGGCTTTCACCATCCTGAGGTGCCGAAAGGGGTGAAGTTGGCTTCCCAAAGACTCCAGGATCCCCCCTCTGTGTGGGGGTTGGGGCCTGAATACGAGTGTCCAGAGAGGCTGGGGTGTGCACCGATGTACTGTGTGGGCACGGGCGGGGGACCCGGGGGTTGGGAGCAGGGTCCAGGGCTCCCCCACAGAGGTGCGGGGTCCACTCTTGTCCTGCTGTCCTTCCCTATCTGACCCTCCATCTTCCAGGCAGGCCCCGGGGGAGGGGCTGGGGGGCCAGGGGATGGGGGTGTGAGTCTACAGATGCATTTGCTGGGAGCTGGCTTGGCTCTGGGGGCGAGTCCTGGGCAGGGCGCCCACCCCCAGCTGCCTGGAGGGAGAAAGAGAGGGAGGAAGAGGATAATAGACCTCAGGGGTCATTTCTCCCACCCCACCCCCTCCTGCTGCCTGCTGAGGCCTCACTGAGTCAGACACTGTTTTGATAAAAGACTCTGGATTCGGGCCCGGGGCGGGTTTTTATAGAGGTGCAGCTCAGGCTCTGGAGCCTTATATCCTGCGCTTGAGCCGGCCAGTCGTCTGCAGGAGCCGGGGCTGGGACTCAACCTCTCCAGCCTCAGTGTTCCTGTCGGCCCAGTGGTCATGGTGGTCCCGCTGCCTCGATGAAGCCTTTGGCTGGGAGCTGCCCCCGTGGCTCCTGCTCCTCCAGGAGGGGGCCCTCGCCTCTGCTTTGGGGTGTTCCACCTCCCAAGTACCCTGGGGTGGGATCAGCCAGGAGTCACTGCCCGTGGACCCCTCCCGGGTCTCCAGGGTTACACTTTGCCGCCAGTGGGATCAGCCAGTGGGATCAGCCCGAGGAGGGTGGAGAGGGAGCGGGCAGTAAGCAGAGGAGCAACGTGGCTGCTCCCAGCCTGCCCACGGGGCCTCCTCTGGGGGAGCAGGAGGGAGGGAAGGTGTGGGGGCGGGAGGCGGAGCCCGGGGAGCTGCTGTCACCTGGCGTCCAGGTGTCTGCACCGCACACAGCCCCACGTGGCTGGGGCCATGTGAAGACAGTCTTCCCTGGACAAGAAAGCCATGTGTTTCCCCCCCTTCACCCCTGCCTGACGCCCTGTCTCGTTCCCTCCTCTCTGACTTCCTTGGGTTCCTCAGTCACTGATGTTAGCACTTCTGTGCCAGGGGCTCTGGGCTAGAGACCAGGACAGGCATTGATGGAGCAAACGTCCCGGGCTTCCTTCCCTTGCTGTCTAGACAGGTCACCACCAGAGTCCAGCACCTCGAGAGGGACTTGGGGGCACGGGGCTGGCATAGTGTGAACCCTCAAATCAGTCTTCTCCACTGAAGACCCAGGCTGGAGGAGACTAAGAAGGGGCCACTGCTGTTGGTCTCACTCCCCACCCCCAGGCCTGCATAGGCCCCCAAAACCTTCTCAGCACAGCCCTGGGCCAGCCAGGATGGTGGGGGTGGAGGAAGGAGAGCCATTTGCTTCATTCATCCATGGAGCACTTACTGAGCACCTGCTGTATACTTGGCATTGCAGTCCTGTGGATAAGGTCAAAGATGGCACCAGGAGTGCACTGGGTTGGGGGGCCGGGTAGGGAGGGTGTCTTTGTTTTGGAGTCACAGTCCTGGCTCCTTAATAACTGCGTGGGCCAGGTCTTTGTGAAAGGGGAAGCTCATAAGCACCTTGCAGGGCGGTGGGGGGCAGAGTCCACAGTAAGGGGCAGATTGCTGGGGCAGATCCCTCCCTTACTGGTTACTGAGCATGCAACAGGCCAGTTACAAAACTCCTCTGCTTCACCCTCCTCATCCGTGAATTGGGGGAGCTCCACTTACCTGCCGAGGCTACCGAGAGATGAAGGGCTAAGATGGATCCTGCCCTGAGGACTCTCTGGCGTGTGTGATGCAGGATCAATGCCAGCTCTTGTTTTTGTTCTATACTCAGCACAGCGCTTGGCACCTGGTCTGGGCTGGGTGGGTGGCAATTGTCCTCATGGCTCCAGGCCAACTGTCCATATGGCTCCAGGCCCAGGGTCAGCGGCAAGGGCTCTCCGTGTGTGTGTGCCCCCGGCAGTTCACCCACTGAGGTCATCAGGTGCTGGGAACTGGCCCTGCAGGTGGACAGACGCTACCAATCAGGGCTTTTTCAGAAGGTGTCTTGGTGTCCACTGCCCAGCAGCTCTGGGGCAGGGTGAGCAGGTGCGGTGCTGAGTGCCCTCGTGGGGTGGGAGCTGGAGACTGCACAGGCGGCTTGTCCGCCTCAGGTCTCTTGGCATCACGGCAGATGCGGACAGCGCGAGCTAAACAGGTGCGGCACTCCGGACAACTGACCTGGGGCGCCCCGGGCCGGGGGCCGGTCGCCTACTGAGCACATACGGCCCTTTTCACAAATGGACAAACTCTGCCTTCCCTGAGCACACAGGCCTCACAAAGACAAGCTTGTCTTCCCGCCCCGTTGGACGCCTCGTGCGGTGTCCCTCCCGCACGACCCCCGGAGGCCGCCGAGGGCAGAGGGGCTGGCATGTCAGCAGGCCTGTACCCACTGCGGTTCTCTGGAGAGAGCGGGGCTTCCTGCTGGGGGAGAGGCTGGGGGCAGAAGGAGGTGGCATCTGAGCCAGACCCTGAAACATGAAGGGGAGTGTGTTCTGGGAGCAGGGCTGGCAGGAGTGAAGGAGGCAGGTCTCAGCAGTGACGGCCAGGGGCTACTGGGTGCTCGATGAGGAAGGAGGGTGGCCTGAGCTGTGAATGGCCTTGGGGTGGCCTAGTAGAGGCCCTGGAGGTTTGCTGGTGTCCACTTGGGTTCAGAGCTTGGATACATTTCCAGCTCTTCCGCAAGACCAGACACTCGCTCGAAAGTTCTGATAAACCCTTGGAGAGAAGAGGGGCGCTTGAGCTGCCGCGGGTCATTTCTTTAGAAGTCCTGGTGGGCCGGGGGTGTAGAAATAGCCGGGCGGCCCCAGACCCTGGGTATGGCCTGGACACGGACTATCCCTTCTTCTGGGCGGCCCGAGGGGCTGCATCACCCCTGCCCTGAAATGCTGCCTGAGGGGAACTCATGCCGTAAACCAAGCCTTTGTCCAATTTTCATGGAGATTTTATTTTTAGGTTTTAAGAGTTCTTTATGTCCCCAAGATGGAAGTCTTTTATCTGTGAGTTGTTATGGCTGAAAAGATTTTTTTTTTTTCATTCTCTGACTTGTCTCTGCATTTTCCCTTTTTTACTCAAGTCCTTTTGCATGATGACATTATATACATTTCCATTTTCTTTTGGGTGTCTTTTAAAAAGCCATAATTTTAACTTTACTGAAGTACAATTTATCATTAAAAAAAGAAAGAGAGAAGCCAGCGGCAGGCTCCTGGGGAGACAGAGGTGCTGGGGGTGGGGCTGCCTGGACCAGGGGAGAGCTCAGTTCTCAGAGCCGGATTTCTGAGGTCTCGCCCCGCCACTGAGCCCGTACAAAGCCGAGCCTCGAGCCCATTTTATAGATGAGGAAAATGAGTCCAGGAGTCACACTCCGTGCCCAGGAGCAGTCAGGAGTGAGCGGTGAGGGGGGACTGGCTCCCCAGCAGGCCTGAGCTGGGGTGAGTGAGGAGAAGAGGGAAGTGGGGGTGATTGGGGGAACGGAGGAGATGTGAGAGGGGGTGTGAGTGGGCGGGTGGGCACAAGACCAGGCCCTTGAGAGTCCCGGTGCCACGTTCCCAGTTTAGGGGCAGAAACCGGGGCGCTGACAGAGGCCTCCAGCCAGGGGCGGGGACCGGGCCCCCTGACCCTGCTCCCGCCCTCTGTCCCGCCAGCCCCGAGCCATGATGAAGACCTTGTCCAGCGGCAACTGCACGCTCAGCGTGCCGGCCAAGAACTCCTACCGCATGGTGGTGCTGGGCGCCTCGCGCGTGGGCAAGAGCTCCATCGTGTCCCGCTTCCTCAACGGGCGCTTCGAGGACCAGTACACGCCGACCATCGAGGACTTCCACCGCAAGGTCTACAACATCCGTGGCGACATGTACCAGCTGGACATCCTGGACACGTCCGGCAACCACCCCTTCCCCGCCATGCGCAGGCTGTCCATCCTCACAGGTGGGTGCCGTGTGGGCCAGGGACTGGAGACGTGGGTGGGGAGCTCGGCAAGGAGCCCTTGACCGGGAGGCTCAGAGAGGTGCCTCTGCGTGGGCCCAGCGGACAGTGTCTGGGGCCCAGATTCCATGCTGCCCGGTCTGGCGGACTTCTCCTAGCTGCTGGTGCGCCTTCCCGAGACAGGCGGTGTCGGGGTTGTGGCCTCCTCTGGGAGGTGACCCAGCAGCACCCAGGGCCCGGGGTCATCCGGTTCTGCTGACACCCCAGGCCTTTGCCACCTCTCAGAGAGGTCAGGGCAGGATACCTGGGTGCCAGTCAGCCAGAGGGAAGGTGGGGGGCCCATGCTAGGGGTCTGGAAATAATAGCAGTGATGATGATGGCAGCAGCCATGTGCCCGGCCCGTTCCTCCAGCTCGGCATGTGTTTATTTAATCCTTGCAACTAACCCAGGAGGTAGTTGTTTGCTTCCATTTTAGGAGTGGGGAAGCTGGGGCCCAACAAGGTTAAGTTCCTCCAGGTGCTAGTGCAGCTGGCAGTCGGCGGGCTGGCCCTGGTGCCAGAGGGGAGTTCTCCTGTAGCCTCTCTGCCCTGCTGGGAGTGGTGGGGAGGGAGAGGAGGTGGCGGGGACTCGGGCAGGTGGGGATGGGGGCTGCCACCGTTCGCATTACCCGGGCAGGTTCGTGCCAGCTGCCCAGGCCCAGAGCCGGGTTGGCCTGGCATGCGCCTGCTTCTGCTGCTCCTGCTTCTGCACCTCTGGCTTTGTGCCTTCATCTCTTGCGTCTCAGTTTTCCCATCTGTAAATTGGCGTCACATCAGCGCTCACCCCACAGGTCCTTGTGGAAATTAAGTGAGTTAATATTTGGAAGGTGTCTGTTGAGCTGCTAATATGTGCTCGATAAATATTGGGGTCTGAGGTGGAACCAGCACTTACCATGTGGCTGCTGCAGCCGGGCAGGCCACTCCCAGTCCTGCCTTCCCATCCGGGGCACGGTGAGGCAGGAGGGGGTGAGCACGGGGCCGCAGGCAGCTGCAGCTGAGATCACCTGTGGGGTGATCTCAGGAGAAATTGCTCCATCAGGAACCCGCACCCTGGCCTCTGTTCCCCCGTGCCCCAGCTAAGACCCTGGTCCTTGTTGACCATCTGACCCTGATGGCGATCAGAACCCCACCCCCCACCCAACCCCACATTTCGGAGAGGGAGTGCGCAGTGAGAAGGGGCCCTGGCAGGCCTGCTTGAGCCCTGGCTCTGAAGCTTGGTGCCCCAGCCGCACCCGTGTCCCCCAGCCGCACCCGTGTGGCTTCCAGGACTGCAGGAGAGTGCTGGGGGCGGGGGTTGCTGTAGTCCACAGTGGGCACTGTGGGATGCCAGCTCTCCCTGCCTTGGGGACCCACAGATAAGGCCAGCAGCAGAGGGAGAAAGAGGTGGAGGAGGGGCCACATGCGTGTTCCAAAATCAGTCTTTAATCGCATGAATAAAAGATAGACACACCCTCCTTCAAGCATATAGATAAGGCCCAAATGCCCCCCTCACCCCTGCCCCCAGTGCCAGGCTCTTGCCCTGTCCCAGGGGGGGCCACCCCAAAGTCTGCTGGGACTCTCCTGACCTTCCCCAGACACGATGACATGCTCACTCCTGTCCTCATCACAGAGGGCCCTTTTGTCTGTCTCCTTCTAAGTCACCCATCATTCTGAGCACATCTGTCTGCTGGCTTTTCTCACTCACCAACCCGTGCCTCATTTTCCAGCCTGGTGCTGGCGTGCAGGAAATTCTGAAAGCCATTAATTCCACCGCCAGACTCCTCCCAGCTGCCAGCCAGCCCTCTCTGGGGCTTGGCATCTGCAGTCTTGCATTTGAGTATGCCAAGGCCACCGAGTCCCTAGAGGCCAAGGATTAACCTAGCGGGACGGGGTCTTGGCAGCCGGAGTCGAAACAATGACCAGGTTGGCACTGCGTGGCAAGAGCCTTTCTAAACAGCTCCACCATCATCCATCCCCTGCCACCCCAGCCAGCCGGCCTGGTGAACACCACCGTGGCTGGGCGCTGGGAGACAAGGGCAGGGCGGAGTCACCCTAGGCTCCGAGCTCACTGTTCAGAGTGCACCTGTGTCCGGAGCTCCATTCTGAATGTGGGATGTGCTCTGGGGTGGGGGCAGTGGTGTGCTCTGAGGGCTTGGGGGGACGAGACAGAACAAATGGGGATTGAGTCTCCTCTCAAGTCACTGACGCCTCTGAACCTCCGTTTTCTGGTCTATAAAAGTGGGGGCTCTGTAGCTCACTGCAGGTTCTTAAGGGCTTAAGCCAGAGTAAGGAAAGTGCTTTCAACGCGAGCGTGTGATGGAGGAATCAGGACCTGTGCTTGGGGTGATGGCACCGGCCTCTCCCACCCTTCCTGCCGCTGCGCCCCCTCCACATGGTCCCCGGTTCAGACTCAGTGCCTGTCTCGACAGGTGCAGCAGGTTGTGGAGGGCCAGGGCGGGCCTGGGAGGCTTGTTTTTACTTCCCCAGCCCTGGCGTGTTTGGGAAGCAGAGGACACCTCCTGTGTGCCGGGCTCTGCCAGGTGAGGACAGCGCTGGGCCCGCTGGAGGTGTGTGATCTCGGGCGGTGGCTTCCCCGTGCTGAGCAGCTGCTCGCCTGTAACGTGCAGGTTAGGAAAGCTCCTCACAGATGAGTCAAAGGAGAAAAAATGGTCCTGAAGCACCTGGCCCCATGGGCTCTCACGGTGGCGTGTCCACGTGGTCACGGTGATCCCTGAGACCCCTGAGCTCTTGCTATGGCCGTGGTCCCCTGCCCTGCTCCAAGTCACCCCTCCAGGCAGGGCTTGATCCGCGGGGGTGGAGGGAGAACTAAGCTGCCCCAGGCTGGTGGCGAGTAATGGAGGAGGCCGCTGGAGCCTAGGTCTGCCCATCCAGCTCCTGGGCTCCTGCTGTGTGTCCAGGCCCTGGGGACGTGCACCGAGCAAGACAGGGCACGGATGTGTGTATTGTTATTCTAATGCAGTCCACTCACCCACTCACGCAGGCAAGCTGTCTCCAGCCCTGCAGGGAAACGTAGGGTGAATTAATTGTCTTGAAACCAGGCTCTGCCCCATACAGGCGTAACCTCCATCAGGGGATTGAACCCTCTGGCCTCAGTCTCTTGGTTCAGATAAGGGGGGACACCAGCCACCCCTCCACAAGCTGCTGTGGGGTACTGGGGGCGGTTAGGCCACGAGAAGGGCTCGCTGCACCCCTAGATGTCAGCTCCAGGGTCTGGTCAGGAGCAGCCTGCAGACTCACCGCCCGGGCCCTCTCTCCCTGCAGGCGACGTCTTCATCCTGGTGTTCAGCCTGGACAACCGGGAATCCTTTGACGAGGTCAAGCGGCTTCAGAAGCAGATCCTGGAGGTCAAGTCCTGCCTGAAGAACAAGACCAAGGAGGCGGCGGAGCTGCCCATGGTCATCTGCGGCAACAAGAATGACCACGGCGAGCTGTGCCGCCAGGTGGCCACCACCGAGGCCGAGCTGCTGGTGTCCGGCGACGAGAACTGCGCCTACTTCGAGGTGTCGGCCAAGAAGAACACCAACGTGGACGAGATGTTCTACGTGCTGTTCAGCATGGCCAAGCTGCCGCACGAGATGAGCCCCGCACTGCACCGCAAGATCTCCGTGCAGTACGGCGACGCCTTCCACCCCCGGCCCTTCTGCATGCGCCGCGTCAAGGACATGGACGCCTACGGCATGGTCTCGCCCTTCGCCCGCCGCCCCAGCGTCAACAGCGACCTCAAGTACATCAAGGCCAAGGTCCTCCGGGAGGGCCAGGCCCGCGAGCGGGACAAATGCACCATCCAGTGAGCGGGAGGGGGCGCTGGGGTGGGCCTTTGGGCAGTGCCTTACGGGAGGCGGCCCGGTGCCCGCTGCTTGCGTCCCCCAACGACACCCCAAGGGCAGTCTTGTTCCATGACCTTCGGTGCCAGACTGCAGGACCCCAGCCTCTGCCCCCGGACCTCCTCCTGCCCTCCTGCCAGTCTCCTCTGATCCCTCCCCCACCGTTGCAGCTCCCCCAGGTTTCAGCTCCTCCTCCGAGGGGGGTAGATCTCTGCAGGGCAGGAGACGAAGATGGGAGACATCTGGACTTAAGAGGGACCGGGGCCCTTCCTATCTATATGTGCAAGAAAAGCTGATGCTGGAGGGGCCTGGAGCCCTGCATCCCATGGGAGCTCCTGGGACAGTCACAGGATGAAATCAGGATGCTCGGAGCAAGGTGGGGTCGTGCTCTGTGTCCTGGTGTGCACCCTGCTTGGCTTAGGAGGCAGCTGGGAGATCTTGGCCCTTCCCCCATCCTGAATTCTTGCTCTTTGGTTCAGCTCTTCTGCCACCACCCCCAAGGGGCCTCCCCCTGTCCCGACGGAGCCAAGGGAGTCTGTGCTGGAAGCGGGCACGACCACCATCCCCCGGACCACGTCCCCTCGGCCCACGCGCCTCAGCCTCCTCTCCTGGCTCTTCTCGTCTGCAGGTTATGCTTTGTCGTTGCAGCTGTTCCCATGTCGTGTGTAGCTGTAGAAATGGAAATCGTCGTACTGTAAAAGCCTAGTGACCCTTCGTCGGCCAGGCCCCCGCCCCTTTTGGATCTGCAGCCTCTGCTGGGGACACCGACCCCCCCACTCCCAGACGTGGTCCCCCTGCCTGTCTGCAGCTGGACGCTGCCCGCCGCGGGAGCTGCACGGGCAGGACAGGGGGCCCTGGCTGCCCCTCCGGCTGCATCTCACAGAGGAGACTGAAGGGGAAGGTGACCTGTCCTGGCCCAGCCCTGGCCCCGCCCTGTCTCTAGCTAGTTCAGGGCAGAGCTCCCCCCTGGAACCCGCTGTCCTCCACTGTGCTAGTTCCTCAAGCATTTATTGGGCACCTGCTGGGTGCTGGGTCCACTGTGCGCTAGGAAACAAAGAGGGTGAGCATGCACTTTACGCCCCAAGGCTGGGTCTCTCCAGCCCTGGCCGCTGTCCTTGACCCCCCTCTACCTGCCCCTGCCGTCCCACTGCCTTCTGCTCGCACAGCTGAGGGGAGCTGGGGGGAGCAGCTGGGAGCCAGGGCTGAGCTCGGGAGAGGTGGGTGAAGAAAGCTCCCCGTGGGTTTCTCTCATGCCCGGGATCGGCTTATCTGGGTGCCAGGCTCAGTGGGATTTGAACCTATAGACCAAAGGCCTTGTCATTCACTCTTCACAAAAGTGTTTTTATAATTTAATCTCTTTAAAAATATTGAAGTTTAGGGCCATAAGCAACCTCAGTGATTGTTTAGTGACTTTTACCCAGAGAGGGTAAGTAACTCGCCTCAGGTCACACAGCAAGTCTGTGAGTGGCGAAGCAGGGTCAGGGCTGGGCCTTCGGGGCCTTGACGAGCCCCTGCTCCCGATGCTCCCCCAGCCCCAGGGCCTTCGGGACGGAGGCGTCCTCTTCCTGACCCTCTCCTGCCGCTGGTCTTTGAGGGCTCCTGGAGGTTCTGTGTGCATTGTGCCCATGTCACACATGTGCGCACACGTGAACACGGATACACACATGCTCTGCAGACCCCACACCCCTGGTGCCTGCCGCTCAGAGACGCTGCTCTGATCCTGCTTCTGTGCCCCCCCCAACCCCTGCCCTGCTGCAGCCTGAATCCTCCACGCAGACCAGGTACTGGGCCAGGACAGGTGTGAGGCCTGGTCTCACCTGGTCAAGACCCCTCCCCCGGAGCTCTGTATACTACCGATTAAAGTGGGTTTGTTTCTAAGCTGTGTCCTTGACCTTATGTGCTTTCTGTGTTTCCTCACCGGCCCCCCAACCCCAACCCAAGCTGGACTTTGCCCCCCCAAATCACAGCGGCCTGGGGCCCTTGCCTGCCAGTCAGCGCTGAATGGGCATTGAAGGTTATGTGTATGGGGGATGGGGAGGGAATAAAACCCCAAGATAGGAGGTTGTGCCCTTCCCCTGGCCCTTCTGGGCCTTAGGAGGGTGACGAGTTGTCTGCGCCTCTGGAGGGGTGCCCTGGTCAGACAGGCCCCCTGTGGACTGTCACCCCACGTGGTTCCAGGAGCGTGATTTCACCCCCCTGGAACATTTGGACAATGGAGACATTTTCGGTTGTCGAGATTGATGACGGGGGTGGGGCTTGACATGCTACTTGCATTTTGTGGGTGTAGGCCCGGGACACCAGTGAGCTCCCTCCGTTGCCCAGGGCAGCCCCCATGATGGATTCCCACCCCCACTGTCCCCCGCGGGCAGCCCCTCGCCGAGACGGGGCCCCTATGCGTGTCAGCGGTCAGCGCTGAGGGCACCTCCAGACAGGGCTTGCTGAGCGCTGGACCAGCGAGCGTGCCCTCGTGTGGAGTGAGGCAGGACGGGCCGGGACGGCAGCGGGGATGGGGCTGGTCCCTGTGAGTCTCCAGTGTGTCCTCCCAGAACCAGGTCCGCTGGGCAGAGGAAGAGAGGCCGTCGGGCCCGCCCCTGCTCGCGCTTTCCCCACGGTGTCGAGGGCTTCCTCCCTCTCCCTGCATGAGAACCACGTTCCTCCTGTTCACCCCATTGCAGTATGTTGCCCCAGATGGCCCACCTGGAGGAGGGACAGCTCGGGGACTCGAAACCAGAGGCTGCCTTGGCTCCCTGTGCGTCAGGGAAGGGCCTGCCAGCTGGGAGATGGAGACGGCCTGCGCTTTTGATCCATCAGCAAATGCCGGGCGTGGCGGCACCGGCCTGAGGCGGGTTCAGAGAGGAGTAGGACAGACACTGCCCACCAGGAGCTCACGATCCAGAGGGAGAAATCCTTGTCAGGTCGTCACAAAGCAAGGAGAGCTGTTAGGGTGACAAAACCAGGCGAGCCTGGGGGGAGCCAGCTTCTCTCCCGCCTTTGTCCACTTCAACCCCATAAGGTCAGTGGGAGAGACAGGCCCCTTGGCTGTTCTCCTAGTCTTGGGTTTGCAAACATGGGGGTGAACACCCCTTGTGTTGCAGGCCAGTGCTGCACCCTAAGGAGGCCTTGGTTTCTTTCTCTGTAAAAAGGAGGCGGGGGCCTCCCCAGGGGCGCAGCGGTTGAGCGCTGGGTTTCAAAGCTGCCCGCAGCCTCTGCAGCGCCGGTTCAATCCCCGGCCACCGGGTGAGGGTCCCACATGGTGCACAGACCTCTCCTGCCGCCCGCTGCTCCCCTCAGCAGTGTACTTCGGTCCTTCTGCCTGTTCTGCTCCCCGCTCTGACTCTGGTGAATCCTCTCACGCTCCCGCGCTTCTGACTGTACCCAGTGCTTGTATAAATAAATAAATAAATCTTTAAAAAAAAAAAAAAAAGGAGGTGGGGTGCACAGCTGGGCCAGACAACACATAGACAGCCCCTTGCACCCTGACCTTCTCTGCAAGAAGGAGCTAATATTCCTAAGGCACAATCCACAGCATTCCAGGCGTTGCTAAATAGAACAGCCACGCTCCAGCCCCGTCCCTGCACCCCAGTCTCACCCCGGAACCTGGCTAAGGAGCAGAAGAAGGCTTCGCAACTCTCTTAGCCCTGGGGCAGAAGGGGGATAAGATTGTAGGAGAATTCCCCTCCGGGTGAGGCCATTCGGAGCAGAGCCGGATGACCAGCTTAATCTCCCACCTTGGACAGGAGCATCAGGAATCTGATTTCAGACAATTCTGCCCTGCGAACTCTGAGTGCTTGTTCTGTTCCGCCTCTCTGAACCTGTCACTCTAAAGAAAAATGTTGGTCTGTGTCATAGCTTGGTGGGGGCTGATGGGAGGCTGGGTGTCAAGGCTACTGGGAGGGGGATGGGAGAGGCAGCTGACCTCTCTACACCTGACCAGGACTATTACCTACACCTGCTTGTGGGTCCTACGGCCGGGCTACTTGCCTGAGGTTGCACAGCCAGCAAGGCTGCTGGGAGGCGGGATGGGAGAAGCAGCTGACCTCTCTGCACCGGACCGGACCTGTTACCTACACCTGCTCGTGGGACCCATGGCCGGGCTACTTGCCTGAGGTTGCACAGCCAGTAAGAGGACCAGCTGGTTTAGAAGCCACATTTCACTGCAAAGCATGTTTTCTCTCCAGAGCTTTCCAAACCAAGCCAGCCGAGGGATTACTGTCTGGTGGGGGAGGCGGGAGGGTTGGGGTGCCATGTGTGAACGGGGTTCAGAGGACATGGCAGGTGTAACTCACAGGGAGCGAGGTGCTCCAACTCTGAGCAAAGGGCCCAGCCCTGTAACAGGAGAACTTGGCTTCTTTGTCGCGGGGAGTCTGGGAGGAGCGTGGTCAGCCCGAGGCGGCTCTGCTCCCGGGTCATTCGGGCACCCGGGGTTCAGGGACCTCCATCTCAGGACCTTGTTGGGGTCAGGGCCGCTGCCACAGTCAGGTTCAACAGAGCTGGGGGTATAGGGGAGGAGAGTGCAGAGGGTGGCTCTGCTGTTTAGGGGGATACATCCTTTCCACAGGCAAGAGCCAGCATGTGACCCAGGCTACCTCTGAGAAGGGCGGGGATTGGCGTTCCCGGCCAGGTGGCCTCCGGCCCAGCGGCTGTGGAAGGAGGGGGAGCTGTTTGCCGGCTAGCGAGTTCCAGCGGTCACCCTCATCATCTGGCCCAGACCTCAGGACCCCCAACTGCACCTGACTTCAACCCCATCGACGGCAGCAGAGAACAAACAGCTCTGCTCTCCCTCTGCTTCGTGAGATGGCCGCGGGCTTTGCTGTTCTCCCCCACCATGAAAGCCTGGACTGACATGACCTCTCCCCTCCGCGCCCCAGGCACTGCAGCTGGCAAATACAGCCCGACTGAAAATCCCGGCCCCTGTGATCACTGGCATTTCGGTCTTCATTCAAAGGAGAGATTTTCCCTCCTTCCCCTGCTGCGGTCCACTGCGCCGGCGGCTAGCGACGGGAGAAGGGGCAGGCGCTGCCCCTCCAGCTGATTGCAGCTTCTCTCTCCTTTCTTTTGGGAGGTGATGGGGCTGAGGGAAGAGGCCAGGGGACAGTGGGTCAAAACCATGCCGCGCTGGGTTCACGTTCAATGCTAAGGATGGTATCAAAATCCCAGGGTACCTTTGTAGATTTGGGGGACTCTCTCACCTGCAGGAATCTTGCTGCAGTTCTAAGCATCTCTATTTGGGTTATTTGCTTAGTTCTCCTGTAGCCCGTAGGAAGGTTCCAATACCTGTAGGTTCTCTGTGCTGAGCTCAGCCTGGGTCCCTCCGGGATGCTCCCTCCAGGGTGCTCCCTCCAGGGTGCTCCCTCTGGGGTGCTCCCTTGAAAAGGGTCCACAACACCCCCATGCCAGCTTTCTCTGGTCTCACTTCTGCTCCAAATGAAATGCATGTACTTTGTCCCAATCAGCTCCCAGAGCAAAAGTTGATGTGAGCTAGGAAGGGCCTTGAGCATCTAACGCGGACAGCCCTTCACCCACTGGACTCACAGGCCGAGGCAGAGTGATCCGCAGAGCCGTCAGCTACAGGCATGTGCCAAGCACTCTCGCCGGAGACGAGATGCAGGTGTTCTCACTGCACACCATAGTACACTCCAGAAATTCGCTCTCCCAAGAGACCCTCCTGCTACTGACTCAAATCTTTGACATAGGCGCGAAGGATGAGAACCAAGTAGCTGGTTCTTGGTGTTGCAAATTTAGTTCTGGGTTTGGCACCCGGCAAATTACTGCTTTTAAAAGATAGATGGACGTCTTCACAAGTCTTCACACATGTGCCCACCATGTGTGTGAAGGGGCTGTGCCAATCTCTGTGTGGTTCTACATGTTTTAGCAGATGTGCTACTGAGGTGAGCACAGTAATTATGCTTTGCCGTGGTCAGTTACCACTGCAAGCCTGCTGTGTAACAAACACCCCCCAAATCTAGCAGCTCTCAACACATTCTTCTTAGGCTCTCCAGACCTCAGGGGTGGTGGTGAGAGAATTTATCAGAGAGAGAGAGTGGGGAGCAGAACAGGCAGACTGACCGAAATACACTGCTGAGGGGAGCAGCGGGTGAGTCAGGAGAGGTCTGCTCCGCCATGTGCGTTGCTCCCTGGTTGGCCGTGCTGCAGTGGCAGGCGATAGCTTGACAGCGCTGTCTTTAACCCCTGTGCCACCAGGGAGGCCTCTTGCCATCTTCTTAACACACTACATGCCCCAGTGTAGCTGAGTGACTGGCACACAGTAGGTCTCTGATAAATGTATCGGGAGCAAATGGATGAAGGCCGAGAGAGGCGTGATCAGTTCCGTCCTTTGAAAGCCACTCTGGCTGCAGGGAATGTGCTGGAGGGGCGGGGGTGGCGGGAGCAGAGAGGAGGCTACAGGTGATTCGCTGCCCAGGTGGGAGTGACACATGAAGGGCCTCTTCTGGGACAAGGTGTGGGGATGATGAGGAGCTCGGGGCCCACGGGCGGAGCTGAAGACCCAGTCATCAGGTGTGGGCGTTGACTGCGTGGAGAGTCAGGACTGGCATTTGGGCAGTTCGATACCAGGCTCCACCGTGGGGCCCAGGGGGCCACAGTGCGCATTAGAAGTTCCCTGCAGCAGGAGGCTGAGGTGAGCCTGGGTGGTGTGGAGTCTGGGACGCCAGGGGACCAGCAAGTGCAACTGGCAGCGGGAGTCTGGGTGGGAGGGTCTGAAGCTGGCGAGATGTCTGGTCTTAAGGGACGGGTCTGGGGTCCTGCCAGCGGCGGGCACGATGTCAGTTACACAGACTGTGCAGTAAGAAGAGGGCCTGGAGGCACCCAGGATTTAGGGAAAGACAGATTGGGGAGGATGGAG